GCCATTGCGGCTGTTGTCAATTGTTACTGCTACTTCTCAGGTAAATCCTTTCTTCGCGTCGCGGCTGGGAGGCCTCGATGGGTTGCCCCATCGGAAGATTACGGAACTTTGTGAGGCTGGCGCCGGAATTTGAATCTCGCAAGTAGGGTTATAAGTTTAGTACGTTAGGGTTTGCAGTTTAGGGAAATACATCAATGCAACAGCAGATCAATCAGGCGGCAGACACAAGTCGCATGCCCACCGAGCAATCGAAAGGCTTGGCATGATTTCTTCGGACGTTCAGGAAGTATAGTAGTATAGTGTTACGGCGCATGGTTGCAGAGTTGATAGTATAAGCCTTTGAGTTTCATGGCTTCGGGTTTTATTAAGGGAGTGGATTGTATACCGGTAACCGGATCAGGCGTTGGAGGGATTCGGCTTTTTGGCTTTCCAGATGAAGGGTTTGGGCTGGTGATTTATTTTTTGAAGTTCGGCGAAGCGTCTCGGGATGCACTGGCGAGACACAGAGTTAAACCAGCGAGGTTTGGTTATTGGCAGCCCCTTGCTACAGTGCCCTCACAACTCACGGTACAGTTCCTATAAAACCCTTATAAGAGGCCGGAAGGCCTGGCAGACTACGGCTACAGGTACGGCTGCGACTACGACGACTGCGATGACTACTACGACTACTACTACCACTACGACAGCGAACGACGAAGACGACGACGACTACTGCACATGCTACTGTTACCACTACGGCTGCTACAGATGCAGACCATATGAGGGAACACTGAGGACATGGTATTGCTTGCTGTGTATCTTTGCCATGGTAAGGTATTTGTAGTGGTCCCCCTCTTCTGTCCTCTGCATTGTCCGATCCAGGCTACTAGGACGGTGCTTCCTTAATGTGCATGCATGTCTCTCTTTTGACTGAGCATGCAAACCTCTGAGATGCAAAATCAGTTCAAGCCCGCTCAACCCCGATTCATTAAACTGGTGGTGGGAAATTGCGGCGCCCCGAAGCCCTGAACCCTAAACCCTAAGCTAATGAACCGTCCAGAGTTTCGGGCCATGGAGGTAGGCTGTGATGGTCTCAAACGGTGGCCGGCTGTTTGCCTTTCAGATTGGCTCGGTATGACCAGCTGTCTATGGCAGTCTCCCCTAGAAGTCCAGTAGCCGAATATTAGGTTGCCTGGTTCTGGAGCTGAAGGCCTAAACCCTAAATCCCAAACCCTATGGCCCTATAAAACCTAAACCCTAAACCCTACACCCTAAACCCTAAACCCTAAACCCTAAACCCTATAAACCCTAGACCCTAAACCCTAAACCCTATAAACCCTAAACCCTAAACCCTAAACCCTATAAACCCTAAACCCAAAACCCTAAACCCTAAACCCTACAGTACTTGACTCGTTCGGCAACACCCGGGCTTCCAGGGCATGCAATGATGAATTGAGCTTGGCAGTCATCAATCGCGACAGCACCCAGAGACTCCAATATCCCTTGATCAAAGGGGCTTAGAAGGGAACCTGAGCCCGCAAAAAGGGAATAAGGCCCTAGTCTTCAGTGAGAGGAATATACCTTAAATCATATAAGGGATCCTGACATAATTTAAGGAATATTCCTTAACTATATAAGGGATATTGGAGTCTCTGGGCATCGAGCCAAGGGGTTTGCTCTGCAACCAAAGCAACTGAAGATTTGGAACAGGGTTTGGGTGGTACCTGCATCCCCAAACCCTACAAAATAGTAGATTATGACCCCTTGGTCATTGGGTATAACACTTGAAACCGTAGGTTTTTCGGATCCCCAGGTAGTTGTACGTGTAGTATATACTGGTATTCAGGAAGCTTTGAGGAATAGTCTTGGCAACTTCCAAAACTGCCCCTCAGCTCCTTAAGCCTATACCAGGATCGTCCTTGTACCCTTAAAGGGAGGTATATGGCCCCAAATAATGGGCATTTAGGGTCTAATGGAGGGTAGATAGAGGGTCAAAAGTAAACCTCCAAAGACCGTACCCAAACTAAACCTCCAAAGACTGTAAACCCCAAAGCCCGAAATCCAAAGGCCCCCAGACATACTGTGAGCCAAAGGCCTTCAACAGGACTAGGGAAGTGAAGGAGTCTCTTGGGGAATCGTTTGGGATTTAGAATCTGGGGCAGTTTAGGGTTTAGGTGAAGGCCTTGCCTCAGGCAAGCAACCTTTCCATATGAACCTCGAGCCCTAAAGTTAAAGTCCATACCTATTCACATACTTCTATACAGGAAACTGTGTCCGCCATTCTCGGGTACCTTCCGTTACCACTCAAAAAATCTGCATGCTTCAGAGCCCTTTACATAAACCTACAAACACCCCCACCGGATAACTAAGCAACTCCCCTTGCTCTGAAGGCCGCACCAGTAGCTTCCTGATTTGTAGACGGGTTTGTAAAGCAGGGATCTACGCTGCTCTCACCCGTTTGATTCACGCTGGATCCAGCGAGAGCACCTGCAGCACGCGAATGTTGATCTGTGGTTCCGAGGGTTTACGGTTACGGGAAGGATTTGCGTCATCAAGCTGCACAGCAAGGTTACTTCCAAAACTCCGAGACACGCTTTTGAATTTGAACCTGCACGTCCGCGTCGCGCTAGGCTGAATGTTACGCTATTTGCTGTCCAAACCGCCAGGAAACGGACGTAATGAACACCTCCCAACTAAACGAACTCTGGGGTTGGGCTTTCATGTGCCTTTGGGGGGATGCATTGCTACTGGCATCATGAGCACATCCCATACAATTTTTGTTGATGTTATTCATGTTGACTATTGTTTACTCCTCGCTTTAAACTTGAACGGTGTATATATGTATAGACGCACATTTTATTCACGTGCGTGGCAGCAATATTGCCAAGGCGCCCTACCGAGAATTACCAAGCCGTGAACTTAAGCCAAACCGCACATCAGAAGCTCCCTCCAATGATTCGAAGAAACCACAAAGCCTGGAAAACCAGTGAATTGTTTTTATAAAAGCAATTGTTTTTGAATTGGTCTTATAAAAAACAATTCACAAGTTTTTTGTTTTTATAAAAACAAATGCCTTGACACAACTAACCGTTAAGCCCTCGAACCCTGAGCCGGCGCCCTCCGCAAGCTCCGAAACCATAATATAGGGGTAATCCGCCGGGCCCCTAATACTATGTATATATATATATATATGTATATATATATATATATATTTTTTATTTATTTATTTATTTATTTATTTATTTATAAACAAGGAGCACATAATAGCCAACTATTAAAGCCCCTGAAGTACAACCGACCTTGGCATCTTCAGAAGTCTGCCGTGTAAACAGGAATCGTCAAACCTGAGACTTTAACTGTAGCTTCATACCCGACCCCCTCCTTTAGGGTACCTATATACCACTTTCTAAAATCAGATTCTAACCATGAAGCTAAGCACCCCCCAAAAAAGGGGTAGGCTATGACCCTTTAGGTACGGCCCTATACTGTAGCTTCGAAGACGCGACCTTTAACCGTAAACTCTGCAGGCCTTCAAACGAAGGAACCCTAAACCCTAGAGCCCAAACCCTACGAAGCAAAGCCCCTACGCGCTGAATCCTAAACCATACTAGAGCCTAAGCCCTGAACTCACCTGGACGCTTATATAACCGTTACCCAAACAAACCCAAACGCTAAACCCTATCGAGCCTGAGTCATATAAGCTCGAACCTCAAGCACAGCAAGAAGATGGCATCCAGGCCTCCGCGCAAAGGCTCGGATCAAACCCATAGAGCCTGAGCCCAGGTTCCGTTTAGGCTTTCGGGTGTAGTTCAAAGGTTCCTTTGAAGGTTTCTTTAAGCGGATGCGTTACCGGGTTCCTTCTCAAGGCTTTACTTGTAGAAGGTCCCTGTAAGGGTTCTACAAACACGGGTTGGAGGTTTGAGGCTTTTCGAGCTCCATAATTGGACTAGGGCTGTGGGATGTAGATCAGTAGATGCGTAGAATAGCGAGCCCTGAGGAACCGTATTGCTAATTGTCTGAGGCCTCTCTGTTTTAGAACCAGTTGTTCAGGGTTGGGGGGCTGTTCAGGCAGGTAGGGTCTGAGGTTTCCGGTTTAGTTAGGGTTTAGGGTTTTCTTTTTTTTTTTTGAACCCTCTTTTCTCCCTGTCCCAGAGGTTTAGGGTTTAGGGTTAGTTAGGTTACCCGAAGGCTTGAAAGACTCATGGTATTTGGATGCAACAGCTGCTTGACACAAAGCCTGCGGCTCCGCGGGGTCGGATAATGACTATTTGGACCAAGAGGGGAGGCACCAAACAGGAGAAAGTATGAAAACCCTAAACCCCTAAACCCTAAACCCCTAAACCCTAAACCCAATAGTGAGCTGGGGGCTCCACCTTGTCTTATAATGGCAGAAGCCATTTCTCAATATCCGCTTCTTGGATACACGAGTCCCACCGCAAGTGCAGCTTGAGGTTCTGTAACATGTGGGCTCGGGTTGAGGGGCAACCGAACCCAGAACTTCTGAGAGTCGTCACAAACGGAATTGATCATGTTGCCATATGGGTGGTTCTCAAAATGAGGGTCCCTTTTGGGATACCTTAAATAAGAAGTGCCAATCTATATGAGGGATCCAGAAAGGGACCATAATTTTGACAACCACCCATATGGAGTTTGTGGACATAATTTAAAGAGGCAGCTCTGGATCCTACCGAACCTTCGAATCCTGAAGGATGGCGGCCCTTGGAACGGCGTACTGCTGACTGCAATCCTCATGCCTTGGGGTGAAACCCGAAACCCGAAGCCAAACACCGTCCGTCCCTGTGGCCTCAGACATACCTGGAGTCAGTGGGTTGAAACCCGAAACACAAAGCTCTTGTAGAATACCTTGCTGGGCAGTCGGAAACACTCGAGATAAAGCACCACTTCTTGAAACGGGGATGTCGGTCAGGGTTGATGGCTCTGACCCAAACCCCCTTCCCCCCAGCCCTCCCAGTTGCAAAGACCGACAACATCCATGCCCCAATTGAGACCGCAGCACGTGGCTACTTTTTCGCCGACGCACTCCTGCGACACAAGGATGGCAGAGGATGGCACTATGCACGGTTATGTGCGGGAGAAATGCCGTTTCGCTAGGAGCACATCATGCCGAATGACTGCACCTGACAGCTTATGCAACGACACTTAAACAGAAGCTGCTAAGTACCATCCCAAAAACATCCTAAGACCCTGTCTCAATATGTTCGCTTCTGTCCCTCCTTTACACCCTTAGCAGGCCGTCCTTTGCGAACCTGGCAGCTCCAGAGCAGCATCTACTACTACAGGAAGCCGATTCGATTTCGGCCTTGGGGTTTTTAGGGCTTCGGGTTTAGGCTTCAGGGTTCGCAAGATCTATTCTCATGGAAGTCGCCTCATAACCCCTAAACCGTCCAGTCGAGGGGTGTGAGTGTTTGATAATATTAAGCGTGTTATGGTGATCGCGTGATTATACCATATACTCAATCCTAATAAAGCCCTGTTCTCCTTATTCAGACGTCCAGACTCGACTATGAGATCTCTATCCAATGACGAATCTCAAGGCCTTAGCTGTCCTCGCCTCAGAGATGACTTGCACCAACATCGTTGTGGGTCGTTTTGGACTTGTGCTTAGGCGCCTTCTTCCCGTCATGCCCACCTGAAGGTTTTAGGGCTTATCCAAATTCATCCTGTCTTTGACCTTGAAATCTAAACTCTAAAACCTAGTTTGTGAGTCGTGAACACTTGGGAATAAGGCTGACAAAGGTTTAAGGTAGCGGGTCCTGGCTTTCGTCTTTGCCTTTGCCTTTCGCCGCCTTGCGGCATCGTCGGCAGCCTGACTGTTGGGCTTTGGTTTCGGTTTCAGCACCAAGCCCCCAAAACCCAACACCTACACTCCAAGCCCTAAATCCTAGACAAGCCCCAACCCCAACAACCCAAACCTTTTACGACTATTGCCAGCTTGCCCACGAGTCCTGAGGTGCGAGTTTATTGAAATCACAATCAAGCAAGGTGCCCTTACAGTAGATGCCCAAAAGTTGGAAACCCCAGAGCCTCCATCCTTAAGAGTAATGTATGGGAATCCCAGCACTATTTGACCTTAATCCAGTTTCCAACTTTTCGGGGTTTACTATAGTCCAAGCACTCCATTGCTCCAAGTATGCAAATAGGACCTACTTTGGTGTCTAAAGTCTATAAAAACTACCTACTTTGGGCTTTTGGGAGCCCCAAAAACAAGGTGCCCTTAGTCGGGTCTACTTTAGAAGGGGCCTCCACCCTGTAATAGTGACTGTAAGGATTATATTAGGGCCCTATTATATTCCGATTATACCACTATTACAGGGTGGGGGCCCCTTCTAAGGTCTACTGCTGAGGACCGACCTCGGGGTCCCCGCAGATCCCAGAAACTTCGACTCCCGACACTACAATGTGGGCTACAGCTACTTGGAGGATCAGGGGACGTAGTAAGTAGGGTTATAGGGGTCCCTTTAAGGGATCTATAGGGGTACTATAAGGGTTTAGGGTTTAGGGTCTACTTGGAGGATCAGGGGACGTAGTAAGTAAGGTTTAGGGTTCCTTTCAATAAAGGGTACTATAGGGCTCTATTATAGGGTGCCTTAAAGGGAGCTATAAGGGTTCAATAATGGGAGGATCATGGGACTTAGTAAGTAAGGTTATAAGTACCCTAATTGGGGTTATACGCAGTTATAAGTATAGAAGTCCCAGGAACCTTTAAGTACAGCTCCTTCAACCCTACATAACTCGCATCCTGCCGATCAAACCCGATAAGCTATCGTGTGCATGTATACGTACGACGTACGAATTTGCATACATTCATACATACATACATACATACATGCATACATACATGCATACATACATGCATGCATGCATACATACATGCATGCATACATCCGAGCACGAATCCATCCATCCGTAAATCCATGCATCCATCCATCCATCCATCCATCCATGCATGCATGCAGAAAACACATACATACAAAACCGAATACCGATTGCATACTCCAAAGTGAGAACATATTCACATTGAATATTCTACACTTTACACGGTACGTATATTGCATGGTACATATTGCATATTGCATCAAACATAACTATTACAAACAACATGCATTTTACAAACTGACTTTCAGTTAATACTCACATTCATGATGCATATACACATACATATGCATCTATACGTATACATACATATATGCATGTGTGTATATATATATATATATATATATGTATATGTACACATGTGTGCAACTCGCCACAAACTCACGTGTGCAGCGATGTATCTACAATTTGCTCCAGGGCTTGGGAGAAGGTCTACAAGTTAATAATGTAATAATATACTAATATAATCATATAATAAGATAGTAATAATAATATAGTAGTTATAATATAGGGTTTTCTACCGCCTCGAACACTGGAAGGGTCAGGATGGTGTCAATCTCAACGGCATTCGGCACTGTCGTCGCTGATTCGTCACTGTGACGTGGGGTCTGCTGGGAGAAGAGACCTGCAGAAAGTCCCAGCAGAAACACGGTTTCGACACAAGCACGGTTTAGGGTTTAGGGGTTGAGGGATTCAGGCGAGGAGCAAGAGACAGCTTTCAACATTCAATCTTCAATACCGCAACAGGCCCCATTGCTCCACAGCTTGTCATACCAACCCTAAACCCTAAACCAAAACCCTAAACCGATGTTTGAATCCGAAATCCGAAACTCCAAGCCCTGAGCCTTACACTCTAAAGCTCTGAACCGCAAACCTCACCCCTAACCTACCACAACCCCTGAATAGCCAAAGTCCTCATAGGGTCAAAACAGCCATCAGAAGCCTGGGACCCTTTCCCTCTCAGAAACCCGTTGAGCCCTCATGGAACCAAAGCAAAAACCCTGCAGCAACAAAAGGAAGCCTTCAGGCCAGAACCTTAAAACCGTCACGTTCCTGATGGAACCCCTTTTGCATCCCCCCAATCCCTAAACCCTGAACCCTAAACCCCCCCCAAACCCCAAACCCTAAACCCTTTCGAAACCACTTAGCTTGAAGCACCTACAGGGAACTCCAGAAAGTTGGAATATGGTTTCAGGGTAGGACACCCTATAATTTACCATAGAAGGGTTTAGGATAATCATATTCCAACTTTCTGGCTTTTACCTTACCTAAAACCCTAGACCTAAGAGTAACCTCGGAATTAAAAAAAGGTGTCCTTTTTGGTGTTTAAAGGGGGTTATAAGGGAACCTAAACCCTTAAAAAGGGAATAAGGGCCTACTCTGGGTCCTAGTAGCTTGAACCACCTAAACCCTGAGGAGGACCTGCCGGAGAGAGTCTCGCTCCTGGCGGATGGCTTTCAGCAGACCTCTGCGTATTGGGTTTAGGGTTTGGGTTTAGGGTTTTGGGTTTAGGGTTTAGGGTTAAAGGTTTAGGGTTTAGGGTTGGTTTAGGGGTTTTAGGGCTTTAGGGTTCCTTTAAGGGGCTTTGGGGTTTAGGGGCTTAGGGGTTTAGGGGCTGAGGGGTTTAGGGGCTGAGGGGTTTAGGGTTGCAGCTTTCCGGGCTATCTTTTGGTAGGAGTTCGGACTTAGGATGTCTAGGGTGCTTCCGTTGGAGTGGATGGGGTTCTAGAGGGGCAAAGTAATCTTATGAAGGGGCTCATAGGACTTTAGCAGATGTTTATACGGGTTAGGGTTGTCATTAGGATCGATTCTCTTCTCCACAAGGGTTTTAGCGGTTGTGGCTGCGGCTTGTGAGCTTAGGGCTCAGGGATTTGGATTGAGGGAAAACTCTGTGGGTTCAGGGCCTGATCCTTTGGGCGGCTGTTGTTTCAAACTGAACGGGTTTGGGATTTGCGGAGGGCTGGAATTTGCTTAACTCGCAGTTGCAGCCAAACACCAATGTGCCCATAGGAGCTTCTCTAACGGATCCTTGAAAGGGCTGATCGGTGTTGCTTGAGGCTAAGGCTGCTGGAGCAGATTATTGAAATAATAAACCCTAAGGGTCCATGTGCCATTATATAGGGCCCCTTCAAGGGCTCCTTTAAGGCTTCCTTTAAGGGTACCATAAGGCTTTAGGGCTTGAGGGTTCATGTACTCATCTGGTATATACAGTGGCCTTCATGTACTTCCTATTTAGGTACTTTGAGGCCAAAGTATACACCATACGGATACATGGACCCCTTGTGTTAAGACTTACCAGGGGCATTTTCGTATCACTTGGGGCGACGGGATACCATGTAAGCAGATAGCTTCTATAGTGAGACAACCTAAAAACTTGCTTTAAACCTGCTTGCGACTTCACCGGGGGGGGACCTTCAAAGAAATTCCTACAGCCTCATCCCTTGACCCGCCAAGCCGAATCTAAGATTCGGCTTCCTGCGTGTTAGGGTGCCGAATGATCAGAAAGAAACAGCGGTTTTGGTTTTCGGGTTTCCGGTTTGGGATCCCGGGCGGCTTAGGGTAAACCATGATAACCCTAAAACCTTATGGCCATTATCATGATAACCATTACCCTAAGGGTCCATGTAACCATATAGCATATACTTGGCCCCCAAAGTACCTAAATAGGGACTACATTAAGGCCAATGTATATACTATATGAGTACATGGACCCTCAGGGTTACTTGTAGATAGACGGGTGGATTGTAGGAGCAATAGCCCTGGACGGCTCTCGGATTCTTATCCAAGCTCCAACCCTGAGCTCCTAACCGCAGAATTGGGCTTGGGGTCTGGAGTTTGACTGGATTTTATGAGGTTTAGGGCTTATATTTAGGTTTTATGGTTTAGGGTTTGGGTTAGGGTTTAGGTTTTGGGTTTATGAAGGGTCCCAACTAAGAACTCTGCCCCAAGCCTAGTTCAATCAAGAACCACAGAACATGGCCAATACATGGGAGTTTCCGAAAATAGGGGACCCTACTATGGTACCCTAAATAGTAGGATCCTTATTATAAGGACCCCAGAATAAGGTACCCCCTAATTTTCGGAAACTCCCACATCAATCTTAAAACTAACCACAGCTTCAGGCCCTGGCAGCCGTATAACCCGAGCCGAAGCCCGGAACCCGAAATCCTACAAATGGGCGGTTGTCAAAATTATGGTCCCTTTTGGGGTCCGAATATAGTGCGGCACCTTTTTTTGGGGGGTACCCAAAAAGTGACTACGATTTTGACAAGCACCCAAATGCCTTCATTGCGGACTTTGTCGTCCTCGAACAGCAGGATCTGACGCTTCAGGTCCTGCAAGACACTCCGACTCTGCTCCGGCGTGTGCGAAGGTGTGCCTTTAATCGTTTGGTGCTAGAATGGCTAGAAAGGCCCTACACTCCAAACTCTTAAAATCCCCTGGTTTTGCTATTTCTCTCAAAGGTGTCTATGAGCCGTTCAGAGATCAACAACAAGCTTCGAGAGTCCTGGCGGGTGGCTTTGCCTTGTCATTGGATCTACTTCGAGGCTCTTTTGACTCAGCATAACATAGCAGCTTTCCTGGGCATTCCTGCCCTCTAAGCCAAAGTACTCGTCCTCTCTAAGCCACTACTGTTGATGGTATAAACCCTGCATTACCTTAAGGACCCTAAACTATGGGAATAATGGTATATTCCTTGTTATGGGTAATGCAGGATCCATATCATCAACCGTAGTACTCGCCCCCAGATGCTATCACACGAACTCTAGACGGCCACACGATCGTCCAAGCAGACTCTGCAGTTTCCTACTTCTCTTTTCGGCCTTGGTCTGGAAGAAACCCTCCGGGAATAAAGTCTTCGGGTTTGGGCTAAAACCCTAAACCCTAAACCAAAACCTGAGTCCCCAAAGTCGAGCTAAACCCACAATCACAAGCTGATGGGCCGCTCTTGTGCCATCCGACCCACATGGTGTCTTGCCGTGGACTCGTTATTTCTTGCTCTCGTGCGATTCCACCACAAAGCGCGAACCCAACTCCATATTAGCCCCCTCCAGCGACCATCCCACTGCAACAAAAGCAGATTTAGCCAATTTCGTTTCCACAAACCGATTGAATGTTGGGGCTTGCAAAGACTAAGGCCCTCGACCCCAGGAAAGGATTAAAGAGGGACACCTCGTTTAGAAGCTCCGCCCCTGCCCCCACCCATCCTAGATACCCTGAACGCATCCCCCACCCCACACCTGCATCTCGCTCTGCATGCGGTACTCACTTCGCTCACGTTCCAGGAGCTCTTTCCTCGGATCTTTGCAAACGTTTGTGACATACATTCCCTAAGGCTCCATGTGCCCGCATAGTAGGTACTCAGGCCTGAAAGGGGTCCCCATTTAAGGCCTAAGTACCTACTATATGGGTACATGGAGCCTTTGGGATTAAGTCCGTAACACGAGCTCAGGTGAGCTTGAGGTGTTGACTCCAGGGGTAAAAACGGTAAAAGGAGGGACCCTCAATAAGGAGCCCTAGGTATATACCCTTAATATAGCCATGATATAGCCCATTATAGGGTAGGGGTCCCCATTAAGGGTCCCTCCTATTCCCCTTTGAGTTATGATTCAGGATCGAAGCTTTTCCTCGGACATGCCCAGCTTCAATACACCCTTGAGCGCACCAACACCTCAGGGGCTTAATGCATTGATGTCTGGAACTCCTTCTTCGGGCTCCTGCCGTACGGCCAGAACAGACTTTCACAGTTCTCATAAGACTAGCAGCTTGTCCGTTTGGGCAGACATCAAGTCAAGACGCTGAGTGGAAAACCTAACAAAGTGCTCCGTGCTTGCAGGTATGGGGTAGAATAGTACGATACTACGCGCCAAAGCACGTAGATATATTCTCAAAGATCGGCAGAATCATCCCAGCTAGCAACAGCATACCCCATGGAGGCACCCTCGCCGTATCACTCAAGTCTTGAGGTTATGAAAGCGTAGGGCTCAAAAATCCCATGCACCCAGAGTTTCTTGACATGAGGAATGTCGGCTTACAGCCCTGTTGGTGCATCCATGTGCCAGTTAGAAGGGGTTCCTCCACCAGCAGTTCAAGGCCGACGTATTATTTCATATTATATGGGAGTTTATATGGACCCTTGAAACCCTAGCTAGTCATGCACATGTTGCAGCTGCAGGACCACCCTCGTTCCTCCAACAGTTTCTCCCAGCCCTCGACCCTAAACCCAGAGTTGGACGGATTTTGGGGTTTAGGTATGTACTTCGGCCCTGAAGTACCGATATAGTAAGTATATACTGATATACTATATGAATACATGGACCCTTAGGGTAGTCCTCACTCCGGAGGCTACAGCCGACATCTGAATACACCACTGGGCTTCGCACTGCGCCTCCTCCAACTTGGTGAGTGCCTGGCCCAAGACAGTGCAGATGACTTGGGGCAATGCAACCAACGAACCACCCCAACTCCAGAGCGAACCCCCCCCACCGAGAGTTGGATTAAGGATTGCGAGTGCTGGGACTCCTTTTGCTCTACCTCAAGGATCTGAAGACCATCATCTTCGTCAAACTTTCTGACTTCTCCAAGAATCCTGTCCAGAACCCTAAACTCCTAAACCCTTGCAGTAGCCCTAAAACCCAAGGCTCCAAAACTCTAACAGAGTCCTCGGACGTCTGGCAACCGGAAGGCATCCAATTCCCCAAACTCTCACAAATCTGCTCCAGACGACTGGGCCGCCACACCTGAAAAGCGTGTGCCGATGCATAAGGTTGGGTCGTAGGGCCGTAGGGCTGTCTGGTTACGACCTTGACCGGAGCTCATCAAAGGCGCCTTCCAAAGCACTCTGATCGGAGGACTAGAGAAAGTTCTACTTGCATCGGGGCTCCACATAGCGTTATCGACAGCTACATGATCATTTATAACCCTTTAGTTACCCAGTCCCTAAAACCCGGTTGTCTAAGCTCATAAACCAGCCCTACAGAGTACCCTTATAGATCCGCTATAGATTCCTTAAAGGAACCCCTTTCATCCTACGGTTGATGATATAAATCCTGCATTACCAATAATAAGGACTATACCATAAGTCCCATGCTTTAGGGTCATTAAGGTAATGGGGATTTATATCATCAACCGTAGGAACCTATCTAGTTGAGTACTTGGAGTTCCGGCCCCTCTGTCGGGCCTGTGCTTTCTCGTCCTCCAGCCTCTGGACATCCTTTTGAAGGTCCTCGCTGGAAAGGGCGTACGGTTTAGGGTTTAGGCTTATGTTTTTCTTGATTTTGCTGGCCTTTAGGGTTTAGTGTAAGGTGCTGTGGGCTCTGGATTCTCTCCGTCACACAGATGCCCGGAGGCAAGTTGGTGTAATATAGCGGCCCTGGTGAGTAAATTTTGGGGGTTCACTGACATGTAAACATATGACATAATTTCTTAAAAAAACTGTCATAAGCCCCTAATGGCACCTATAGTACCAGCCATCAATCGTCTTGTAGCGCCAGCACAGTGGCATCTTGGGCACTGTCTTGTGATATCGGCCTTGCCTAGAAGGTCAAGCCCTGCATTTCTTGGGACCCCCCTTGCCCCAAGTTTCCAAAGGGGTGCCTTGCTCATGCCTCAATTGTCATCCAGCCTTCCCTAAACCCTACCTAGACCCTGAAGGACCTACCTTTTTGGGATTCCCCATTATGGCTTCCTTATATAAGTGCTTAAAATGGTAGGTTATTTGGGGTTAAGGTAAACCCTCAGTCGGGCGAGTGGTCAGAGACGATCAAGCTAGGGCATCAGGCGCTCCATGACATGGGGCAGAGCGGGGAGATCTCGAATTTCACCATCTACCCTTTCGATCCTTTACCCCTGACAAGTATCAGAAGCCCTTGTCTGAGGTAACCCAAGTATGATGAGTACTCTGCATACTTCCGAAAGCCATGTTTGTGGTAAAACGCCAAAACTTTGGGGACACCGCACGGTCCTCCACCTTTGTGGCCCTCTGGGCGCCAGAAGTCTTGATGGTGAGCATCTCGTACCTGTCCCCCCGAAAAAAACCAAAAGCCACAGGCTCAAGCAAGGCCAGGTTGTATCCCAAAGGGTCCTATGTACTGTTATGGAGAATACTTCCCTAAGTTATAATAGTAGTTTCTAGAATGGAAACCCTACATTCTACTATATCGGTACATAGGGCCCTTCGGGTATGTAATACTCTGAGGCTCGAAAGGCGAACCCCGTCTCCGCGTTTAAAAGCCCACTATGTTCACATCTAGAAAGAACGCAGGGGCGGTGTTCACCCTTGGAACCTGCTCTGAGGATATATGTATACAAACATAACATAAACAAGTAAGTAAACATATATATATATATATATCACCTAGAAAACCGTGCGGCTATTGTTTTTGCCTCCAATTAGTTGCAGAGACAGAAAACCGTGGGGCTATTATTTTCGGCGCCAAGTAATCGCAGAGACAGAAGTTTCAGATGCCAAAAGCAAAAGCTGCTAACCAAGAAGAACCTCGAAGAAACAGCATTGCCGCCAGGGGATCTGCCCCCCGACAAATCCTAAATCCAAAACATTTACTGAAACTCCGAAGTGCTGAGTAGATTCAGGATTGGGGCTTGTTGAACTTGGGTTTAGATGCAATGGGTTTTGCTACCCTGTGCATCTGACAACACGTTGGGCTTTTGATCCAGCATACATAAGTTTAGATAAAAGATGCCTCCATGGGTGAGGGTTGCAGTTTGCAGAGGTTGGGAGTCCTTGATGGGTTCAGGGGTTGAATGTTCATTCTCGGGCTGTCGGGGGAAGCTTTTCTTATCCGAAGGGATGAGTGAAGGCTTTGGGTCGTTCAAGTGAGTGGCCTTCATTTCGGATCTTGAGGAATTACGGCCCAAACGTAGATCTGGAAACTCCGTGACAAAACTGGGCCGTGATTTTACATTATGAGCCCCTAGCTTTGGTTCAGAGGTCCTTAAAGCCCTGTGCTGCTGAACTGCTGTCGGTCTATACCTAAAAGTCTTAACCTCTTCATTCCAGAATGGCATAGGCATAGTCGGATGTTGTCGCCTGTCGCCGGATCAGGCAGCCTTCTAAAAACGACGTTGCAAGACTCCATTGTTGATCGTCCTGGTCGACGCCTTCCGCGACAAGCTGCACATCCTTCCTATCAGATCTTCGCCCATTTCTTAACTCCAAGCGGGTCAGCCGCTGATTAACGGCCCAAAGCCCATCAAGCCCTGCCTGTGTTCGAAGGCCAGGTGGGGCGGGGCATGAAACTTAGGCTTGAGAGCGAAGAAAGTCAAGCCCTATGGCTGGGCAAGGCTTTAGAATCCAGCAAGCAGCGACATGAGTCGCAGGTACAGGTTCTGTGCACAGGTTCCGCGAAGCTGAAGTCCGTGCTGCTACTAGGAACTCTAGCACCCATATTTCCCAGCATGGTGAAGATTTTTCGAGCATTCTAAATTCAAAGGGAAACTGGGCAGTAAGCAGCAGAAGCCTAAACAACGGCAGAGTGCCATCAAATGACCCGGCCATGCCCGCAAAATCCGTGACCCCACTGACCTGTAAGGCTCTTCAGAGATCTGTGGTCGCTCAAACACTAAACACCTTATCACCCTAAGTCCTGATAGCCCCCTATGCCCATACAACAATACATAGTATCCCGTAGCCCTGAACTCTGAACCCTAAACCCGCAGTACTGAACCCTACACGACACGGCGACTGTCGAATCAGTTCAATGATCGCACCAAGACTTCAAGTGGGCGTCAGCACAAGAAACATGACAAAGCAATGTTTAGGTCGTAGGGGGGTATACGCTATTCAGGGGGTTTGGGGGGTTATATATATATATATATCCTAAATGAACCCTAAACTAATATTAATACTAATACTAATACCAATCCTAATACTAATACTAATACCAATCCTAATACTAATGCTAATACCAATACTAATACCAATCCTAAGACTAGTAACTGTTACTAACAATCTCTCTGGTATACATATACCCTACATGAGCCCTAAACTAATACTAATACAGTAACTGTTACTAACAATCTCCCTAAACACCTAAACCCTAAACCCCTAGACCCTAAACCCTAAACCCTACTGTAAACTCTGGGCTTCCTGGCCTCAGCTCGTCGCATTGCGCCTTGGTGGCCTTGAGCTCTTCCCTTGGCGCAAGGGAGAATCCACGGGTGAAAGGAGGGACCCTTAAAAGAGGGGGGGGGTTAAGAGTTCAAGGGATATGGGTCTAGGGTTTAGGGTTTTGGGGCTTCGGGTTTAGGGACCAAGGGCTTGGGGTTTAGATGGAAGGTCCCGGGCCCGTTTCTCGATGGGTATAGGGTTTAGGATTTTGCTGTAGGGTTTAGGATTAGGGTTTAGGATTACGGTTTCGGGTTCAGGGGTGCAGCGTTTGGGGGGTTTAGGGTGTAGGGTTAGGGGTTCCCCTGAAAGGGATCTGTAAGGGATCAATAAAGGCTTAAAAGGCTTATTTAAAGGGCTCCTACAGGGGATCTACAACTGCTTACTTCCAGGGTTCCTGAAAGTGTTCTGGAAGGGATCTACGACTGCTCACACTTTAAGGATTCCTGAAAGGGAACGATACGGGCTTCGGGTTGTAGGGACCATCGACTTAGCAACCAGGGTCACAAATTAGCTCAGCGTGGATATAGTACTTACAAACCATAACAAACGCAGTTGCAATACTTAGAACCTGACTTACTAAGCCCTCTGATCCTCCAAGTGTTAGTTTGAAAAATTGAAAACAAACCTAGCTGGAAGGCAGGGAGTTTGCATAGGATGCATGGGGTTTCGGCCTGCATCCGGCAGAACACCTGCAAACCCCTGACGTTGATGCCTGTTCTCGTTACCTTGATTTGTAGGGTCCAAACCATAAGCTTCAAGAAATGGTACTACCTTCCAAGGTTTGGGTGAAGAAGTTTCTAGCCCTAAGGTCCAGAACCTGAACCTTGAACCCGAAACCCTCTTCAACTTCGGCATCGTCTAGTCGTCAAGGATTTGCAATCATGGCTGCCACGACGAAGACCACTCAATCGCATGATAATTCAGAGCAAGCTAGACCCTAAACCCTAAACTGTCCAGCCCAATCGTCGATAAATCTCCAGCAATCCCTACACCCCAGGTTCTTAAAAATCAAAACCCTGAAGGGCTAGAGCCCAACTCCATAATAACAAAACAGGAATGACAACAGCACTATAGAGAACCCGAGCCCGAAACCCTCAACCCTGAAATCTTCAAACCCCCAAAACCCTTACCCTAAACCCTAAATCCTGAAACCCTAAATCCCCCAAACCCGAAACGACCACGGCTGGGCCCTGGGCTGCACTGCCCGGTGCGCGCCACGTAATTCTGCCAGGTCTTCTGTCGAGTTCTCCACCTGCGTACGCCACGGTTCTAGGGTTTAGGGTTTCGGGTTTAGGGAAAAAGGTGTAGGGATTTGGTTTAGGGTTTCGGGTTTAGGGTTCAGGGTTTCGGGTTTAGGGATAAGGGCCCAGATTTTCAATCAAATTCCCGGACCTGAAACTCCTGAAACCCCGAAGCCCGAGACCGTTGCCCAAAATTCCTAATTCCCTATATGAACCGTCGGGATGCAGGGTCCAGTATTTAGCATTATGGTTCTGTTGGAACTCAAGGCCCTGGTTTCGGGATTTGGTGTTCAGGGTCTGGAGTTTATTGTTTAGCATCAGGGGGAGGGAAAGTCGGGGGTAGGGTTTGCTGAGTCTCAGGGATGGGATTCGGGGATTGGGTTTGATAGGCTCTGAGGGTTAGTTGTGGTGTAGGCTACAAGACCGAATACCGAACTCGAGTTTCTAGATTAACAGATGGTCTTGCAAGGGCTTTGATCTGCGGCGATTGTCAGCACGACTTTGCGGGTAGAGCAAGAATGAAGGTCACCTCTCATTCTTGTGTCGTTCAGAGGCTTTCGCGTTTTTTTTTTTGTTTATGGGCTTTCGCGTTTATCGTTTAGGGGATTGGCCAGAGTAGCGCCGCAGTAGGATTTAATTTGAGCCTCGGGAGAAGAGATTGAAATCTGCCTTAATTGGCAGAGAAGCAAGACATCAGGGCCTCGCGCAAGCCTCTCACCCAAAGAGCCCAACACCCCTTCATTAAGGAATATGGCTTAAACTATATAGGGCTTCATATTATGATTTAAGCCATATTCCTTAATTAAGGGTATATTGGGCTCTCTGGGCATGGGACTTCTTTGCAGGAGCTTGGGGTGTAGCAATGGACAAACGCCTCGCACTTCAAGAATAAGAGACCCACCAGTATACACTAAATCCTGCTTTGGTTCAGCCTGCAGTTATCAAACTGGGATCAATGGCACAACCAACCTAAAGCCTAAACTCCAAACCCTAAACCCTGAACCCCAAACCCGAAACCCTAAACCACAAACCTTAAACCCCAAACCCTAAACCCAAAGCTACACTGGAGGGGCGTGCCTAAACCCTCCGCCCTGGTAAGCTTCGGCACTTAGCGTCACTAGTCGCCGAACTTCCCGAAGTCTGGGTCCAAGCGTCAAACCTTCGTATACTCAGCGATTGCGAACCTACCAAACCCAACAAGCATGAACGCCCCAAAAATCTTACCTTTGATTAGTATAAAGGGGTCTATAAGGGTTACCATAAGGGATCCATAAGGGTACTACACTATAGTTGCCTTAATAATCCTATAACTTACCTTTGGTTAGTAGGGAATGGAGGAATCGGATGCAATTATAACTGCTATTACTACCATTCTTCCATTCCCTACTAACGAAAGGTAAGAAACACCGGTCGAGAGATAGTGGCGGCTTAACAATTTGAATAGGGTTTGGGGGCCCATTACAGCATAAATATAATTGGGAGCCCCCAAAATAGTACTGGTACTTTTTAGCTCTTTAATTAAGGAACTCTTGAAAGGACCCTCAAAACAAACGTATTGGTAACTATTTAGAACTCTATAGAAGACATGACAAGCCTCCAGCCACTGCCAGCTTAAGGACGAAATTAACCCTAAAAGGGTTTAAGGTTCATATACCATATAGGGATTCATAGTATATGGGTATACCCAAAGGCCCCAAAGTAGTTCCTTTTGGGGGCTCATATATAGAATCCTATGAGACAATCCCAAAAAGAAACTACTTCGGGGCCTCTGGGTAGGGCCCCTACTTTTAAGGGTCATTTGGTCCTTCAGGCAGCCCCTGCCTTGGAGATCTGCGCTAGGCGCTCTGCATGCTCCTCACCGGGCACCGCACATCTAACGGTTGATGATCTAAATCCTGCATTACCTTTAGGATTCTAGACTATGGGAATTATGGTATATTCCTTATTATGGGTAATGCAGGGTTTATATCATCAACCGAAGGATTCTTCGATGTGTTTCCTAATACAAGTACCGATATCCGTACAATCTTCTTTAGCTAGGTGCCTTACGAAAACTAAAACAAACTGAAACCATAAAAAACCGAAAGTGCTTCGCGGTAGGACGAATGTAGTAAGACGATTGCAACTGATCAGAGCCACCTCCAAGAAAACCTCAGGAGCTTGGTAGCCAGAGAACTACACCCTAAACTACTCGCAACCTTCAACCTTATGTCTACATATATATATATATATATATGTATGTATATGTATACATGTATGTGTGTGTATGTGTATATATTATTATATATATATATAGAGAGAGAGAGAGAGAGAGAGAGAGAGAGAGAGAGAGAGAGAGAGAGACTTGCACACCTTTTCCCTCATCCCTCTACCCTGAAGTAGAAGACCGCGACGCCTTTCGGAGGGAGTCCAAGTCTTCCTTCAGCCACGCGGCTTCTTTCAAGACCTCGGGGAAAGTACGGCATCGAGTGTACAAAGGCTTTAGTGTTTCAAGTTTAGGCTTTTAGGGTTTAGGCTTTATAGTTTAGGGTTTGGGGTTCTTGTTGTTTTTGGGGGTGTTGCTCTCCGGTGAGAAGTTAAGGCTTCGCTCAGAGCTGGAACGCTTGGCGCTGAAGGCTTTGGGGTTCGACGTCAAACGAGGCTCTGGATGAGGGTACTAATTGGAATAGGGTGCTGGAGTATACTCTACCATATACTCATCTAGCGCCAATATACCTGACTTGTATAAGCTTTTCTGTGCAGCCTTCATGCTGGCTTAATTAGGAGTTTGCGAAAATACGGGTCCCTAAGATAGTACCCTAAATAGTAGGACCCTTATTATAAGGACCCCAAAATTAGGTAGCCCCCCAATTTTCGGAAACTCCCAATGAGGATGCCAAAGGTCGGGTGGAAAGTTGGACTCCGCTGGAAAGTCTGGCGCTTGGAGTCCTAGCCCCAGGCCCGAAACACTTACTCGTGTTGCCTTTCCCTAAGGGTCCATGTACTCATAATAGCATATACTTGGGCCCCAAAACACCTAAACTTGAAGTACATTAAGGCGAAGGTATAAACTACATGAGCACATGGACCCTTAGGCTCTCTTTAACCCCATTTGACGTATCAGGATCTACACTTGCACGCCTTAACCTCAACCCTAAATCCTAACCGGCCCAATCAGCCCGAAAACCCTATATTAAGTCCTTGTAAACCCTAAACCCTACCCTAAACCGACCCAATCGGCCCCAAAACCCTACAATAAGCCCTTGTTAAACCCTAAACCCCTGAACGCTAACCCCCATAATATGCCCTGACAAAGCCTAAACCCTAACCTAAACCGGCCCTAGAACCCCCATAATAAGCCCTTATGAAGCCCTATAATAAGCCCTTATAACCCTAAACCCTAACCCAAACCGGCCCAAACCGCTCTAGAACCCGAAACCGGACTCCAGCCGCTCGAGGCCGTCGCGGCGTGTGCCAGCCAACGCCAGCAGCAGGCCTCTGGTCAATCCCTTGGGTAGGGTTTTAGGGCTTGGGTTTAGAATTTAGGGTTTAGGGTTTTAGGGTTTTAGGGTTTAGGGTTTAGGGTTTTAAGGTTTAGGGTTTAGGTATAACGTTACTTAAGGGATCATGGGACTGAGTAACTAGGGTTATAATTAGGGTAGCTATACTTAATGTTAGATATAACGCCACTTAGGGTACTCATAACCATACTTACTAAGTCCCATGATCCGCCATCGTAGGATGCAATGGGGCTGCTTTAAGGGATCTTTACGGGATTTAAAGGAAGACTATGCTTCGGTTACGGTTTCCTAGGATGAAAGGGGGTTCCTTTAAGGGATTCTTATGGGAACTATAAGATTGCCATGTAGGGTTTCGGGGTTCAGGGATAGGGGATGAAAGGGATGTAGTACTTAGGGCTTAGAGTTAACCTTAACCCTGAAAAACCTACCCTTTTTAGGGCTTGATTTCCTTATACAAGCCCTTAAACATGTAGGTTATTCCGGGTTAAGGAAGGGTTTAGGGATGGAGGGGTTTAGCGGTTTAGGGGTTCAAGGGTTTAGGGATTAAGGGGTTCAGGGTTCTTTTCGGGTGAGGTGTAGGGGTTTAGACTTTATAGGGCCGAGTCTCCGACAAGCCATTTAAGGCTTAGGGTTTCGGGCTTGTAAGGGGTAGGGTTTACCTTAACCCGGAATAACCTACATGTTTAAGGACTTGTATAAGGACATCATAATAAGGAACCCTAAAGAGGTAGGTTGTTCAGGGTTAAGGTAGGGTTTAAAGTCTAGCATGATTTGGGATTTGGGGTTTCTAACGTAAGGGGTTCGGGCTCCGCACTCCGACAGCGATCTCGAACCCCTGAAGAGCCCTTAGAAGAAGCCTGAAAGGACCCTCACAGAGCCCTATACCGATAGGCTCATACCCTACCCCTTTTTTAGGATACCTAGATTTATTGTTAGGATCTGTTGCATAGAAAAGTAATTATGGTACCCTGAGACGGGGTAGGGTATGAGCCTCTAGGTATTCCAAGATTGTGTCCACAAAAAACATGCGTAAAACACTGGCGCCCTAAACCTCAAACCCTAAACCTTGAGAGACCCTAAACCCCAAACCCACCCCGGGAGAAGCGTAGCCCAACCTTACATAAAACCCCCAGAAGCCCCGTACCGTAAACCCCCCAGACCTTCCAAAATCCCTTAATTAAGGAATATACCTTAAATCATATTAGGAATCTATTATAACTTAAGGTATATCCCTTAATTAAGGGATTTTGGAAGGTCTGGGCCTAAACCCCCAGAAATCGTTCCCTGCCTCTCCCTGGTCACAATTGTCCACATGCGAGGGAAGCGTCAGCACCTAAGCGAGGCCCGTGATAGGGTTTAGGGTTTAGTGTTTAGGGCTTAGTAATTAGGGTTTAGGGTTTAGTGTTTAGGGTTTAGGTGCAGGGTTTTGGGCCTTTCATTTTTCCCCTAAGAGGGCCTATGTACTCATGTAGCATATACTTGGGCCCCAAAGTACCTAAACAGGGGCTACATGCAGCCAAATGTATATACTATATGAGTACATGGACTCTCGCGTTGTTTGTGCTTCTTGTTGCTGGGGTCTCTTTATGGTGCAAGGTTTAGGTCAGGGTTTATGGGGGGCTTGGTACCGTTGCTCTCAGACAACATAGGTCTCGAGGTCGGCGTCATCAGTTTGCACGCGATTCGGGAATGAGGGCAATCTTCACTTACATGCTCTGCAATCAGCGACCGCGTTCCCACGGATAAGGCTCCGATAATGCCCCTTTTCCTGTGGGACGGATTCGGACTTAGATTCGTGTATCAAGGTTATGGGGGGCATAGTCTTAGGGCGGTAAGGGCTTCGCATGCCATGACGGCAGTTGGGGATTAAGGCAGGGCTCTCTGAACATGGTTTGCGAAGCATCCTACTTACACTGTCGGTTGTAGCTCCCTGCTTGCCTGCGAAGCATGGGCAAAGGGCAGCAACACAAATGCCTGCAAGTACGCGCAATGAGTAGGTGGCGGGTGTCAAAAAGCTCTGTGACCATGTATGGGAAAAAATGTTCAAGCCGCCCTAGAAACCCGGAACCCTGGACCCTAAACCCCAAAAGCTACAACCGAAACCATAAACGCTTCAAGCCCTCTAAGCCCTAAATCCTAGACCTGCATCCTGGAGCCTGAACTTCACACCGGAAAACCTTGTAAGCCCTAAATCCTAAAGCTACGCCTTCACACCTAAAATCCTCATCCGAAACCTTAGACCCTAAGCCCTGATAACCTTGTGGGTGTATCTATATAGACAATACATATTGAACATACTGAAGAGTAAGAATAACCCTCGTAGACACCATGTGAAGGACCTCTTGCAGAAACCCTGTTCTGCTCATCTTCCCGGTTCTGAACCGAAATTCATGGGGAAGGCGCTCTGAGGACTACTATAAGGTTCCAACGAGGACTATCATACGAATCCCCCCCATCCCCCTAAACCCTCAGAACGCAGGGAGTGATTACTATAGAGGCCGTAATGATTAGAATAGGGTTTTGGGGATATATGGGCGGTTGTCAAAATTATGGCCCCGTTTTTGGGCAGGTGCCGTATTATATTAAAGACCCACAAAGGGACCCTAACTTTGACAACCACCCATATTATGCCATAATATGATAATAAGGACCCTAAACCCTAAAAACCAAAACCCTAAACCCTAAACCCAAAATAGATTGACATTAAGCCGAGCTCGAGGCCCGTCGACCCGCCAGGCCCAGCTCGGCGGGCAAGATCCGGCGCCCAGCCGTGGTGGGCCTCCGGGTTTCGGGTTGTAGAGTTTTTTTCACGGGTGGGCCTTCGGGTTTCGGGTTTTTAGGGTTCTTTTTTTGGTTTATTTCGGGCTTATAGGGTTTATTTCGGTGATTTATATAGGGTTTATAGGGCTTGTAGGGTTTAGAGGGTTTATAAGGTGACAGGGATTATAGGTCTTAGACGGCTTATAGTGGGGTTTCGGATTTTAGGGTTTAGTGTATAGGGTGTAGGCTTTTTGTAGTTTAGGATTGGTATGCCTTAGAGTTTGGAGCTTTAGGGCTTGGGGTTGGGGGGTTAGGCTTCGGAACTTAGGTTCGGAAATGAAGGTCTATAGCCTCCGGAGCTTAGGATTTAGGGTTTACGTGTTTGGGGTTTCTGGACTTTGGGGCGAGGGCTTAGGGTGGTCTTTCATACTGTACAACAAACTCCGGTATGTTGGCGATTGGCGGCCCTATGAAAGACTCTTGTAAAGCCGTATGTACTAAGCCCCATAAATCACTATATCCATCTATCCACCTACCTATACATCGGGTGAGTATCTATACATATATGTATATATAGATAGATAGATAGATAGATATGGGTATGTATATTACTTGTCTATGTATATATATATATATATATGTATGTAAGTAAGCTTCCTGAGACCCTCAGAGGCGGCGAGGGATCCTCGCAGCCTCCACGAAATGAAACGGATGCCAAGGACTGGACTTAAAGGCTCAATTCCTAAAGCAAAGGCTCTGTAACTCAACGGTGGGAGGTTTTGGGACTTTAGAGCTTACAGGCTTTAACGATTTGTAAAGTTTGAGGTTTGGGGGTTGGAAGGCTTCGATTCTCGGATCTTACCGTTTCAGGGTTTGGGCATGGGGCATCGGGTTTTGCCAGAGCCATTTAATCGAAATGAGTGTTCAGAGAGGATACGAGCCTGCTTTATAAAGTAAGGCATTGGGGCCAGCTAGGTGTGTAGGTCTGTTTGGGCTTGAGTTTCAGATGTCGGGCTCGAGGTCGCTCAGGGCCGTAGCCACCACCTAAACCCTATAAACTAGTGCCACCTGTTTTGAAACTGCTGCCGGGACATGATGCCCTTGTAGCTGATGATGTTGGTTCCTGCGAGGCTCACCAACGCACATCCACAAGCCCTGAACCCGCAGACTTGAACCGTACACTCCCGCCACCCACATCCAGACATTGGCACAGATTGCGGTTCAGTGCATGCCGGCATCACAGCGATGATTATGAATGCAAGCAACAGGACGTGCTGAAGCATTCAGGTCAGATGAGGATAATTCGGCTTTCGGACTTTGGGTGAGCAGGACAGAGGTCTGCTCCGCATTGCGGTGTGAATTAGCCGCCCCCTCTCTCCGACCATATTGAAGATCATCATGATGTTCACCATCACTATCATCATCCTCATCCATGTCGACCGTTGACACATCACCTCGCTCCGAGAAAACCAGTTGCATGTCTTCTCTTTCAATGCGTCAACATCCCCCATCCCACCCACCACCCGAGACTCGCACGCAATGATGAAGATTAAAGTGAATAAGAGAATGATGAGAATGATGGTGATGATGGTCTTGAAGGATGAACATCACGATAATAATTAGCTGAGAAGGCGTGTCTAGGAATAGTACAGGATGTGCGTCCGAAACATGCCTGCATACCTGGGTACGTACATACATACATGTACATACATGCATGCATACATACAGGTGCGCACAGACACACATCATGCATATGCATATGTCTACGACTCTAGGTGTGCAAATACATATACAGATGTGTATGTTTGTAAAATATATGTCTATAGACACATACACATGTGTGCATACATATACATACACCTATGTATATATGTACATGTATATGTACGTGTGTTTGTATATCTGTATATGTATATGCGCACACTCGCATATTTGCAAGTACTATGGAGAATCTAACCCAGATGGTCCGTCTCCCTCTCGTGCGGCGATGCCATCGAACTCGCTGCGCCGGCTCTGCGCACCTGGAGCTTGCATGCGCATTAAGAATGGACAGGCGCAATTTGCGGCCTTATGGTTTCAAGCCTTTTGGGCGTTTAGTTTCGCATGTACCGTTCTAGGGTCGACGACGTTACAGGCGGCATATTCAGGGTTTGGGGTTTAGGATGGAACCCTTTCTGTAAACAAAACAGGAATATCCTTTATCCAATAGCCCATAGGAGCGACGGGGTACGCCCCAAGACATCTATGGGAGTCTTGCGGGTAATGAATTGTCTAAGGCCCACTAAAGTTTGTATGCTGTCCAGTGGCTGGTGCTATCCTTGCACAACACGGAAACAGCTGCCTTTCTCTTGCTACCGCAGCTGCAAGTTCTTGCTGTTTTGGCTCCCTTTCGAACTTGATTTCCAGGGTCGAGCGGCCCCGGCGCACACATGGTTCGCGATGGTCACCCTGTCCCATGAATACTCAATGAAAAAAGTTTGGACTCCCTTTTCCAGCATGATCTGATTGTTAAAAACCTACATTCGGTATGCGAGTTGCACCCGAAACCCAATGCTTTCACAACCGCGCCAAACCTTAAACCAAAAGTCCCAAACCTTAAAAATCCGCAAACCATGAGCGCAAAGCCCTAAGCTCCGAACTCGGCCTTGCACCCTCTATGTACCTTTACGTCTGAAGGGCTCCTGAGATACCCTAGACGTTCGCAGGAAAACACAACAAATCTACAGAATGAGTCGTTGTGGGTACTTTCAAACCAATCCCCTCCATAAAATGACCCCCTATGAACTGGCCCAAACCCATTTTCTAGAGAACAAGATTTGGCCATTTCATAGGGCCATTCTCGAGGGGCTTTTTAGCCGCAAGACCCTCAAACTGACAAAGTACTGTTGATGGACAAAATCCTGCATGACCCTAAGGACTCTAAACTATGGGAACTATATGGTATATTCCTTATACTGGGTAATGCAGGATTTTGTCCATCAGCAGTAGTTCTGGGCCCCGGCTTTGTGGTCGAGCGGATTGAGGCCTCCGACGAACCCAGGCTCATGCGTGTTGTAATCTCTGAGTTTGAGGGTTAATTCTATAATGCTTTTAGGGTGAAGGTCTTACATGAGGGCTTTATGAAGGCTTTAGGGTTTAGGGTTTGAGGGTTCCACGAGATTCTACAGAGCACATGAGGGCTCTATAAAGGCTCTAGACTTGGAGCAAGTTATCGGAATCGTATGATACCCCCATCGGAAAACGTGGCTTTAACAGAAGGGCCTTAATGTGGAATAAGGCTCCTTTGAGGGGTTCTATAAAGGTTGCTATTGTAAGGGTTGATTATCTCGAGCCGTTTCAACCAATCCCGGCACCGATGTCAAGGGTTTCAAATCCTTGACATCAAAACGCTCAAGCCCTTCTGAACCCTGAAGCCAAAACCTGACTCCCAAACCAAACCCTGCTTTCGAACCACTAAGCTCTGAACCCTAACCCCTAACCCGAAACCCTACAAAATCGCATGAGCTTTAGCCCGAAACCCGCTACCCTAAACCTTTACCGTTACCGCTTAAACCCTGTGAATCCTGACCTCAGACCCTAAACCTGAACCGGTAGGCTCTAAACCCGATTACAAAATTAACCTAAACCCTAAACTCTAAACCCTAATCCTAAACCCTAAACCCTAAACCCTAATTCTAAATCCTAAACCTTACGCCTAAAACCTACACCCTAACCCAAATCCTAAACCCTAAACCCTACTCCTAAAACCTAAACCCTAACCCTAATCCTAAACCCTAAACCCTACTCCTAAAACCTACACCCTAAACCCTAATCCTAAACCCTAAACCCTACTCCTAAAACCTACACCCTAACCCTAAACCCTAAACCCTTGAAGCCCTGGCAGTCGAAACCCTGAACTCTAAACCTTGCAAGGGGCCCCCACCCTGTAATAGTGGTATAATCGGAATCTAGACCTAAGGGTAAACTAGGAATAAAAAGGGTGCCCTTTTTGGTTTAAAGGGAATTATAAGGGAACCTGAACCCTAAAAAAGGGAATAAGGGCCTAGTCATGGTCCTAGGGTATAATCGGAATATAGTAGGGCCCTAATATAATCCTTAAAGTCACGATTATAGGGTGGGGGGGGGGCCTTCTGATGTAAACCCTATAAACCCGGTATTCCAGAACCTTAAACCATCAGGCCGAAGCGCTAAACCCTATAAACCCTATCCCCCAAAAAACCCTACAAGCCCGATAAAAATCCCTTTATGGAACCCGTATAGATCCCTTTACAACTAAATTCTGAAACCCTGAACCCGACATAAATCGTATAAACCCGGTACTCCTCAACCTTAAACCTTGAACCCGAAACCCTGTAAGCCCTATATTTTAAACCCAATAAATAAACGCTGTAAACCCTGTAAGCCCAATACACCCTATACACAGTAATATTACAGACCTTGAACCCCTTTATAGACTCCTTATGATCACATTAAAGGAACCCTAAACCCCAAACCCTAACGGAACCCTAGCCCCTAAACCCTTTGAACAAAGGGTGTCCCCGGGCCTCGACCCGCGGGCTGACACGGAGCGGGCGCTTTGCGGCCGTGAGTTCGGCCGTGAGCTAAGAGGCGCGATGCCTGGGCTTTAATGGTCCAAATTTAAATACTGCCCCCCATGCAGTACCTATAGAGGCTCATACCCGATCCCTTTTGCGGGGTACCTAGTTATTTAGTTAGGATCTGTTATATAGAGGAGTAGGTACCCTAAAAAAAGGGTAAGGTACCGCCCCCATACAGTAACAGTCTATACTCAGGCTACTACAGCATTTAGGTCCTAGTATAACTACGTTATGAATTATGAATATTATTCAACTCTTACTGAGTGGGGGCAATACCCAAATTTAAAGGGTATATATGAGGATAGCAACCATAGTAAAAGTAATAGAAAAACAAGGAGAATAATCCAAATAACAGTACCAATAAGAATAGCTATGACAGTAATAAGATATTACTAGCAACAAGATAAATAAGAAGAGTTGAAACAATAGTACAGCTGCTGTAACAATCATAATAAAGATATGAAGAAGAATGAAATGACTAGAGTTCCTTTATCGGTGCCTGCGTTTAACGGATTCGATATAAAGGTTACTAATGGGGCTAGCAGTTAGCATGTTGGCCGTGCCGGTTAGGTATTGCTTCGGATTTTGACGATATCGTCGGATCGCCCCAGACCTTCCAAAATCCCTTAATTAAGCAGTATACCTTAAATCATATTAGGAACCCTATTATCATTTAAGGTATATCCCTTAATTAAGGGATTTTGGAAGGCCTGGGGCAAGCACTTTCAAATTCGGGCTCTTGGGGCTTCGGATCAGCACCTGGGCAGCAGCGCCGACGATTTCAGTGTTGGTGTAGGGGCCTTAATAGGGGGGGGTCTATAAGGGTTACTATATATAGGGATCTATAAGGGTACTATACTTTTTTCAGTGTTGGACCCCAGCCTAATCAAAAAGGTTTTGCATGCTGGGTTTGCCATTTTGGTTGGGGAAGGGTGGGGGCATGCTGGATCTTTTGTCTTAGCTTGGTTCTGCCCCTGTTGTTCAGAGCTAGATATTCTCAACCGAGCCTACTGTAGTTACCACCCAAGAAAGCGAAACCTTCTTGTCATCGCATACATAGATCAAAAACCATTGACCCCTGCAAGGAATATAGACCCCAACACCTCTGAACGCTACAGATTTCGGCACCGCTCACCTCCTGCCTTAAACTCTAATCCCTAAACCTACCTTAACCTACCAGAACCTACTTTTCTGTAGGGTTCCTATAAATTCCGTATCAGGGTTTAGGATAAGAACCTGCAATAAGTAGGTTTTGGTAGGTTAAGGTATTTCCGAGTTGCTGAAAGTGCCCATGGCGACAGCAGGGCTCCACCTGGGCATGGTTCTGTTTGTCTTGACTTCAGGGTCTATGCCCTTAAACCCATTACTCAAGCTTCAGGGTCTATGCCCTAACCCCCCTTTAATCCCTAAACCCTAAACCCAAACCCCAGTGGGGTTGCGTAGCAAAGGCTGTGGATCGGACCATAGGGACGCGGCATGGAAAGAGCTGGACTTGTAAGACAACAGTGAACAGGGGGCTTAAAACAACAACAAACAGTCTCAACGCTTGTCTGTTTGGATTGTGACTATGATTTGCTTAGGGTTTTGTGGTGGATTTTTCATGCGCTTCGTTAGGCTACAAGTATGAGAAGTAGTGGAAGTCGCATGCAAAGAATTCTTGCTTCAAACAGCAATGAATGTCACAAGGCTCAAAGCACTTCCCGACCTATGAAGCCTACACCCTCTTTCACATCCCGAAACCTTACATCTACATATGAGTGCCGAAGCAACTAGACGAGGAACCCAAATCGCAAGCACAGCCAGTAATGCTTGGAAGCCGGAGGTGATAATTACTGTTGTAGAGTGACGAAAGCCTGAATAATATCTGGGGCCAATCGTTTACTTTATCTCACAGGTCTACGGATAACTAATGATAGAAGCAATGCAGAGGTTTCCGAGAGCCGTACTACGCTTCTTCCGTTGAGCCGGGAACAGCTTCAAGCTCTGGAACACTAGAGGATTGTCTTTGCTGCCGAGAACTTGGAGCCAACACACCTGAACCTTAACACCCAACACCACGGGGTTGGAGGGTTTAGGGTTTAGGGGTTTTACACCCTGAACCTTACAACTCAGGAACACTCAGCGCACCACAGGCGTCTACCAGCCAGGCGAAGCAAATCGAGGCATGATGCTGCCACTCTGGTTCTTCGGTTCAGGCTTCTGGGCTTTCCTCTTCCTTCATTGGTAGCCTAGTGAGTCTCGAGCTGCAAAAGGCTGGTCCACCAAGATGGGAAAGACCAGGTCTCAGTTTGAGCAAGCATTGGGTGCTATGTGGGGTTCGGGGCTTCCATGTTCAGGGACATGAAACAAACAACCTGAACAAGGCAGCGGCGGTCGACGTTTTTGCGGTGTAAGAGCCCTCAACAAGAAATTCCAAGTGCCCTCACAGTAAAGTCCAAAGATATCCGGAACCATCAACTATCTGAAATCCGAAGCTATCCCTAAACAATTAACTATCCGAAGCCCTAGTAGAACCCAAAACCGAAACACCTGAACCTGGATCATTGGGTTTCAGAGGTTTGGACACAAGGGAACAGTGGATTTAATGGCGTGGGGGGTTGACCTCCAACTGCACATATCAACACTTTATTTGTGTCCAATAGCCATATATATAAATCATATAGTAACTAATATGGTGTATATATATATATATATATATATATATATATATAGGCAGAGAGACATCGTCTTTGGATATCTCAATTTGACTATATCTTGCTTTATAGGTTTACAACCCTACCGTCATGCTTGCCCTGAGCTCGAGTCTAGAGTGATAGTGCAAGATGTTTGCACTTAGCGCTGTGAGGGTCCTCGGTGCAGTAGCTAGGGTTGAGGGCTTAGGGCAAAGGGTTTTTAGTTTCGGCTCTGCCAACACGTACTTTTTCTCGTCTCGCCGTGTCCTGGGGAACTGGAGCGGCCCATGTTGGGCCTGCTCACTTCCCCGCCATCCTTCCAGACATTCCAGCCTTGGCAGCAGAGCTTTTGGAGGACTTCGGATTCAGCCTCCTCCCTTCCAGTACCCGCTTCATGCACTCACAGTATGTCTGCGTGCACCTGCGTGTACCCCTTGATATGTGTATGCATGTCTGTATCTACGTACATGTAAACATGTGTGCTTGCATGTATTTAAAGAGAGGTAAGGCAAGGCAAGAGGCGGACAAATAACTCATATGTGATGTAGTCGAATGTAAGGTAAGGTATGTATCTGTCTGCGTCCTTCTCAAGACATGTCTCTATTTGTGAGTACAAGTGCGCGGAAAGATGTACGTGCAAGAACAATATGTCTTTTCCCTACGTATAAAAACGGATGATACATGCAAGCGCATGTCTGATGTGTATGCATAGACGAATGTGTATGCATACATACATGCATGCATGCTTACATACATACTTCTTTTATTATGTGCATCTAATTATGAATCCACTCTATAACAACGATGACTTTACAGCTTTACATGCATACAGGCATGCATGCGTACACACATGCATATATATATATATATATATACATACATACAATTACATGCATACATACCTACCTACCCACATACCTACAAACAAACAGCATACACACATGAACACACGTGTACATGCACATGGCCACACTTATGTACATACACTCACAGAGAGAGGAAGAGACAATGCACGTACACGCCCACACATATCATGGACAGAGAGAGAGAGAGAGAGAGAGAGAGAGAGAGAGAGACCGCATCAGTCGCCCCTTAGCAACCAGCAAACTGACCTTGACAAATGAAGCTAGTCGACAGCTAGTCTCGGAGCTGTCATGGAGCCTTGGGTAACTCTAAACACCAAGCCGCAACTATTGAAACCTCCCTGCCACCTGCCCTGAACCGTAAGCTTTCATTACCCTCCGAAACCTAAGGCCAAAATGATAATAAGCCGTAAGCCCTATAGGGTCTCTTCTGTGTTGCCTTTGTACCGGAGTCGGTATATGAGGCTTGGGCCATGTAGCCATCCAGCCTGGAGAGTGCTGTTGGGCTCCTTATCAAGCTTTTTAGAGGCCGCGTAAAGTGCTTTGCCGCTTTTGTTCTAAAATGTGTGGGTCCTTAAGCATGTGCGGTTGAGGGTTGCATGGTGTGGCTTTGGGTTTTGGGTTGTTTTGGCTAGGGTCTCGAGGTCAGCGACACCGGTGGTTAGGGGCTTATCTTGACTACGGGTCTGGGTTTTAGGGTTTACAGATGATGAAGGTTTTTTTTTGAGGTACATGATTATCCCAAAGGTTCCTACATACCCAAACCATAATAGCCATTCCTGGTGTAGAAGTCCTAATTATAGAAGTACTTAAGACTCTTCGATTATGGAATGTCAAAGGCTTTGGATCTCATGTAATGGGGGCTTCGAGGACGCTACCGGCGCCGGGGCTTTCGTGTCTTTGTTGGGACCTCCCCCGAACCCTAAAACCCTAAACCCCTAGACCCAAACCCATATAGCTGTCTCCACAGGCAGAGATCTCTGACCAGAAAGAGATGGTGGTCGATATGCCACGTAGGCCTTTTGACATGGAGTACAGCGCCATAAGGCAACTGAAACTCAAACCACAAATCATTCAAGCGTACCACCAAACAAGTGTAGTGGCACACAAACAGCAGGATAAATCTACAGAGGAAAAATCATGCCGCGGTGAAAAGGAAGGGAGCAAAGTAGAAACCGTGCATCGCTGCAAGTCATGCAACGACTGCACCTACAGAATCATCAACACATATACATACATGCTCCATCATGTTATATTATATTCTAATGAATAATTAGAATAAACTATGTGTGTATATATATGTGGTTACAACATGTATTCAAATATTCTTGACCCCCATCAAGAATTTTCGTGGCCTAACTCCTAGACGAGACCCCATGATCCTCAAAGTGGTGTTCAGCGTTTTGGGGTATGCTTTAGAAGCGGCCCCCATCCTGTAATAGTGACTATAAGGGTTATATTAGGGCTCTATTATATTCCTATTATGCCATTACCCGTGGGGGCAGCTGCGAAGGTAGACTATACCATATTTGTACCCGATAGGGATCAGGATCTATTTGCGAAGAGGGGGCTCGTCGAGCTTCGCCCAGAGCGCGGAATTGGTGCCGATGGACCTGGGGCTACGCAAGACGCGCACCCACACAACCCTAGACCCTTGGCAGAATGCCCTAAGTAACCCACTAAACTGAACCTTATAAACCCAAATATCCCTAAACCCCACCAATCTCGGGCTAGGGCTCCAATAGCACTTCTACCCAACCTTTGCAAGGCAACCAAGCCGTTGGAGGTTGTGCATCATCTTACAGAGGTGACCCAAGCCGTGTCAAATCAGCAAACTCCCCAACCCTTCACGCCGCGAAGCCTAAAGCTAATAAGCGACGATCCCCCAACACCTGCTTAGCGAGGACATGCTACCTAGTCCCAAGCCCAACGAAACCGGAGATATGTAAACGCATGGAATGCCGGGAAATTGAACCCGACACTTAAAACACATGAACGCGAAACAGTAAACACTAAAACAGAAAAGCCTAAATTCCTACACCTTAGGCCTTGAACACCTGAGCCCCAACCCTGAACCCTAAGGTCTACAAACACTAAGCCATTTACCCTCAAGCCGCAAAACCTCCCTAAACCCTAAGCCCTCCCCAAACCCTATAAACCCAAAACCCTATAAACCCTAAACCCAAAAACCTATAAACCCTAAACCCAAAACCCTATAAACCCTAAACCCCAAACCCTATAAACCCTAAACCCCAAACCCTAAACCGCAAACCCCATAAACCCTAAACCCTATAAACTCTAAACTCCAAACCCTAAACCCCTCCCCATCAGCCCCTAGACCCCAAGGCCCAGGCTGGGCCGTCTGAAAGTCCTGCGACCTTGAAAGGACGTGTCATTTATTTTCAGGGGGTTTGGAGAGTGTAGGGATTAGGGTTTGGGGTTCAGGGTTTAGGGGGTGTGGAGTAGGGATTAGGGTTTAGGGTTTAGGGGGTGGGGATTAGGGTTTAGGGTTCAGGGTTTCGAGAGTGTAGGGATTAGGGTTTAGGGTTCAGGGTTTAGGGGGTCGGGATTAGAGTATAGGGTTCAGGGTCTAGGGGGTAGGGATTGGTTCAGGGTTTAGGGATTAGGGTTTCGGGTTCAGGGTTGAGGGGGTAGGATTAGGGTTTAGGGTTCAGGGTTTAGGAGGTTTAAGGATTAGGGTTAAAAGGGGGAGGGTGGGAGCATGAGTACTCTCTCCATGGGTTCTTGTGGTAATTGTTCCGGTCGGGGGTTCATAGTTTACTGTTTAGGGTTTTAGGGCTCCGGGTTTAGGGTGTCCATCCGCCTGGCTCCAGGATTTATGCTTTTGAGGTTCTGGGCTTGAATCCACCTCAAAGCATCAAGGTTTCCCTAATCTGGGGTTTTCAGTTTCGAGCAACTTTGGATTGGAGGGGCCCAACGCGTATAATCAACATCTAAAAGGCTTCAACCGCTGCGGAGGGTTCAGCAGGTTTAATCAAGGCGTAGGTTTTGACAAAATGTAAGCTGACCCACAAGTGCATCTACCCATAGACTCATAAAACCATAGGACACACAAAGCAAAGCGTTTGTGGGCCCGAAGCCTCCACCCCGAGCTCAAAACGCCTCAGCACCCAACACGATGCTTGGCGGCGGTCCGGAAGCAGCTTTCACCGGCGAGCCTGGCGAGGGTAGAACCCAAGCCTTAACCCTTCCCCTTGGTCTCCTAACACACATTTCTGTAGGTTCGTCTCCTAACCTACTTTTCTGTTGGATCGTATTATAGCAACCTTAATATGGAGTTTATAGAGACTCTACAAACAAGTAGGTTTGTAGGTTTTGGTAGTTCACGGTATACAGCATCGTGTTGCCTTGGTGTGTACTTTCAGGACAGCGTATGTATGTATATATATATATATGTAGAAAGACTACATGAACCCTAAGGCTCTGAGGCCTTGCCTGAGTGAAAGCACCACGATGATTCGCCTAAGTATCCTCCATACAATACAAAGCACTTGGCGTCCATGCTGACGGCCTTGGCCATCTCAGGCTACACGCAAAATCTACACATTAAACCTAAACCCGTAGATGCCATAGAAAGTTTAGGGTGACGGCCTCACTTCCTTGGTCTTCTCGTGGTTGCGGGCACACGCCTCAGCCCTGTGCAATCCTAAACACTTGAACGCGTAGCCGAATTCCCTAAACCGTGTATAATCCCTGAACCCTAAACCCTATACAAACTTTAAGCCGTATATACCCTAATCCCTATACCCACCCTAAACCGCATAATTCCCCTCCCCCCCTCAACCAAAAGTGACAAAACCATAATCCCTACACCCACCCTAAACCGAATAAATCCCCCCCCTCCCCCCCTCCCGCTCAAAAAACAAGTGACAAAAACGAAACACCCCTAAGGCGGCCTGCGGCTGCGGGGGCATCGCGCGTCTGCCGCAAGTAGGCCATGGTGCTTGCCTGAGGCTCCGGGCTTTCACTGTAGGGGTTTGGGTTCAGGGTTTCGAAGGTTTTAAAAGGGCTTAGGGGGTTTGAGGGTGTAGGGTTTATAGGGTTTATGGGGTTTATAAGGATTATAGGGCTTATTAGGATTACAGGTTTTGTAGGGTTTATACGGTTTATACAGCTTATAGGGTTTAGGGCTTAGGGTTTAGGGCTTAGATGGACTATACGACCTTTGGGTCTCTCTAGGGTGGGTTTATATAGATGGGTTCATAGGATTCATTTGGGGTTTGAGGCGTCGGAAATCAGGCCGTGGTGTCGTCGTTATGGCTACAGCTTGGGAACTTCGTGCTTCCCAACATGTCAGCAGGATTGAACAAAGATCCAGTATAAGAAGCCCCTGAACCCTACAGCCTAAAGGGTCAAGTATCGTGAGGTATTCTGTTGAGTAGGTTGTGCTCATGAACTGCCCAGTCAACGAAAACTACATGGCCTGTCTTGTTAAGGCCAAGGTCTTCTTTCCCGGCCGGACTGAGGATTGTTTCCTTCGAATCGTCAGGATGAGGCTTCTTGCTGATAACCTGCTGGGATGGTTCTGGGAATTTGCATGAATTTCCTGAAACACTGCAACGAAGGAGCATTCAAAGTAAAACTGCCAAGCCAGTGGTGAAAAGTAAGGGTTCCGTAGCTTTTCTGAGAAAACTCTCCCTCGCCAGCGCCAGGTCCCCGTGCAAAGTCACGACCGGCAGGCACTCGAGGGCGCCGGGGCTCCCCGTCACTGTAACTGCGCAGGGCAAGACTCGGGGTCAGGGTTTTGTGGTTTAGGGCTCAGGTCTAGGGAGTTGAAGGGTTTGGAGTTCAAAAATTTAGCAAAGTGTCAGGGCTAGCATCTCAAGGTGTCAGTTGGAAGGTTTCTCGGGGACCTGGCTGAGAGTGTGGTGAAGAACTTCACGACGGCAGCTGGTGTGGACTACTCTCATGTCCATTTAGGGTTGCTGGGTGATGTATAGTATAGCCAAGGAGCCTAGAGCCAAAGCCGCAAAAGCAAAACACTCGAGAATCTGTAGTAATAGTTGGATTCCACAAGCCTGATTGCAAGGCATGGTCGTAAAGGTTAAGAAGAAACTTCTGCACCTAGTATAAGGGCTTTAACAATCAGAATAGGGTTCTAGGGCCCACTATATAATGATATCATAAGGAACCCCAAGATAGTATAGGTAACTATTGTAAAGGCTCCTATACCAACCCCCCCCCCCATAATACACCTTGTAGGAATCCCTATAGACCCTTTTAAAAGGGAGACTTATAATAGGTAATTCTTCAGGCCCTTTTTTTTAGGGAGATGAGGGCACCCGACGAAGGCAGCAGACGACGAGGAGGCTCCCAGTCCGCTCTCCGCCTTCCAGAGAATAATCCCTGGTACTTGGAGGATCATGGCACTTAGTAAGTATGGTTATAAGTACCTTAAGTGGGGTTATACTTATCTTATAATTATTAGTACCTTAATTGTAACCCTAGTTACTAAGTCCCATGATCCTTTAAGTATGGGAGCTTCGGGAAATTAGGGATAAGGGTTTAGAGTTTCCGAAAATTGGGGCTCCTTTACAGGGATCTATAAGGGTTCCTTTGAAGTCTATAAGGGTTCTATACAAGGTTTAGGGTTTAGAGTTTCCGAAAATTCCGGGTACCTTATTTGGGTGTCCTTATAATACGGATCCTATTTATTAGGGCGCTTATTATATTAGGGTCCCTACTTTCGGAAACTCCCATATTAAGTTCGTCTCGACTTCTAGAAATCGTTAAGTTCCGGGTTTAGGGCTTTGTCAAGCTGTTTAGGAGTTTAGGCTGTCGTAGTGTGTAAGGATTTACATGTGGTTGTGGGCTTTGGGGACGGCGATGTTAGGGTTTGGTTGCTATGGGATGGGAGCGTCTCTGTGGGTGCAGGGGTTTAGGACATCCTTGGTTTGCATGTATGGAAGTGACAGTATGTAGGCCGGTGGGTAGATACGCACATGAAGAGATGCCGGTCCTGTCCATCGCTGCATTCATGCAAATGTTGTACTTAGTAACCAATGTTAGGCATCCGGTGCTGATGACGAGGCAGCCTCACAATCGTCGTTCCCCTGAGTTGCCTCTTTCGGAGCCGCGTGACGCTAGGCCGAGCCCGTCCTCCATCTTCCAGGGGTTGGGCATACGGTTGCGGATGCGTGAGGATGTGCTTGCGGCCCTTCCGCTTGTGGTACCGGCAAGCTTGCTTGCAAACTGCCGGGTGGCCGATGGAGCCTACCACACCACGGACCATCTCTGAGCCTGCTGAAGGCGCCGCTGCCCCACGTGCTCGCTTGCCACGCCGGCGAGGGTCCCACAAGCTGGCCTCGTGGCAAATCATGACCACGAATGCAATGCGCATCCACCTGATCCAACTGGAACATCTCGACTTACTGCCGACCGCTGGTTGACAATGCCAGATTCAAGGACCATTATGAAAACTACTGTTCGGGCTTCTCAGGTCATGTTGCCAGTGGTTTCCTCTGACAGGCATGTACGGCACGAGGCACTGCTCCCCCCCAAAGGCCTCCGGATCTAGAAATCCTCTTTGCAAGAGCACATACCATTGTCAGGGAGTTCCGGTCTCCTCAAACCTCTGCAAGGCTTGGTGTTAACTCGCACCCTGAAGCCTGCAGGGTGTTGGGCTAATTCAGTGTAGGCTGGGCTCTTGTAGGAAATAGATATGGCATAGGCATAGAACGAACCACACTAAAGCTAGATAGCCAGACTCTGCAAGGCTTTAACTGGAGCCAGCTTGAGTCGTGGGGTGTCATCCAAACCCTAAACCCTAAACTTAAACATAAATCCCCAGTCCCACGGCCGCCATCATCAAACCCAATCCCCCATCCTCTGATCCTAAACACTGTCCAATGGAATCTACATGGGGGTTTCCTAAAACAGGGGACACTGATATAGTATCCTGAATAGTAGGATCCTGATTATAAGGACCCCAAAACTAAGAAGGTAGCCCTAATTTTCGCAACCTCCCACACACACCTTGATCGAGAAGTCCTGTTCTGGACCTTAAACTGAGACTCTGCAGACTCCTCGGTAACCTTATATATAGTTTGTATTGTCCTCATAATTTCTAGCAACAGGAACACAAACGACCTAGGCTCTATCAAATCAAGGACCCCACGACCCATGATGAACATGTGTTCAATAGCCCGCTGGGTTGCCCCCATCTCAATCGCAACTCGAATTCCTAAGGATAGCCTTAAAGCCGAAACCCCAAACTGACTAAAGTCCTTCAATGAGCAGAGAACTTCTCAAACAAGGCCATAAAGCTATCAACCCTCAACCCCCTAAGCCATAAGCCCAGCACCCAAATTCCAATTCCTATACCCTTTTAGTACCCTGATACACACCCTATAGATCCCTTATAGGACCCGGACAGAACCCCATGGCTCCCTTGAGACATGAACCCTGAAGGCCACGCCCTCCTGCCTTCGGTGGCCATGACTCAGCATAGCCTAATGCCGCACGGCCGGCAGCTTCGAAGTCCTCCTGGGACTCGTGATGTTTTCGCTCTTGAAGCTTTCAACAGAGTTCAAGTTGGCCCCAAAACCTAAACCCTAGCCCCTGAAGCCAGGTCCATATGGTTCGATGGTTTCGATTCGGATCGTTGGAGGGGCTTGTCGAGTCGGAGGGCTTGTAGGAGTTTCTGTCGGATTCCCTGTTTTTAAGGAGAGTCAAACTCGGTGCACGCGTTGTAGGGCTCTTTGGGATTCGGGTGGACGGGTTTGGGTTTGGTTCGGTGATGCTAAGATAGAAGCAGAGATTTCGTGGAGTTGGACCGGCTTGCAGACCTGTAACTATGGCCGCGGCCAATGCAACTCCTGGCATTACATCACCGCAACCATCGTCCCTAACCCTAAACCCTAAACCATGCAAGTTGTATTTGTGTGACAGTCGCTCACCTGACATTACCTGTGCGAAGTCCGGACCAAAACAAGTACAGAACAACGCACGCAAAGCAAGCCCAGAGACGAACCCTGCCGCCCCTGCGATTGCGAGCAGTGTACCTGCACCTACAGACTCCTCAATGTAGGAACCTGATTGAGACAGCCTGGGCCTATAACCCCAAAATAGTAGGACTCATGTACAGAACCCTACAACCCTAACAAATACAAAGACCCCAGGCTTCTCAAGCAGGTTCCCACATTGCCACCCCAAAATCGTAGAATTCATATAAGGAAGGCCGAATAAAGGCCCCCAAAATAGTAGGATTCATGTAACAAAGGCCCAAGTTTTATTAATCAGGTTCCCACACTACCTCAACCAAAGGTCCGAAGCCCGAGCTCCACAGCGAAAACTTGTCTTTGGGGGGTTTCCGAAGATTAGAGGACCCGAATATAGGACCCTAACTAGTAGGATCCTTATTCTAAGGACCCCAAAGTAAGGAATCCCTCATTTTCGGAAACTCCGATTTCTTTGCCGGGTGGCTAAAGCACTTCGGTTGCCAGCCTCCTCTGCTGAACAAGCAGTCATGAGTTGTTGCATAGTTCGTCTTCGGGGCTTCAGAGTCAGGGTCTTGGGATAAGGGGCGTCCGTGATGCGAAAGTTCAGGAATCGGCAGCATGAAAGCCCTGAACGACGAAACACCCGGTGTTTGCTATTGTTGTTGGAAGCTCGGGCGAATGAGCAAGTCTACTCAAGCCGCCCCAACCCTGGATCTTGGCAAGTAAGTGCTCTGCTAAACGTGGCTACGGTTGATGATGCAAATCCTGCATTACCGTAATGACCCTAGACTAAGGGAACTACGGTATATTCCATCATTATGGGTAATGCAGGGTTTATATCATCAACCGTATGAAACTTCAAAAAGGGCGAGAGAAAGGCCCGAGCCGTAGCAAAGCACTAGAAATTGTGTTGCAAACTATGCGAAAACTCTCAACTTACATCCAGACGTCGAACAACCAAGGTACCACAAACGAAGCAAGGTCGTGTTGCATACAAAAATCTGTCTGACTGCCTGTCTGTCTTCTGTATGGATGCATGCATGAATTCATGTGTGTATGTATGTATGTATGTATGTATGCATGTATGTATGTATGTGATGTGATGTGATGTGTAAATGTGTATGTGTGTATGCGTGCATGTGTGTGTGTATTTGTGTGTGTATGTGTACACATGCAAGTATGTGCGTACCTAGGTACGTATGTATGCATGTACGCATGTACGCACGCATGTATGTATGTATAAATCCCACTCTAAGAAGAAAGCACCCTACACGCATATACATGTGCATACGTAAAACAGGAAATCTACAAACCAATTTACTTTGTGGCTACAGAGCAACACAGAAGGCTCCAAGTTGGGTCGAAGTAGGGTAATGGGTCAGAGCAGGGTAACCCCAATACGTTACATCTACATTTCGGTCCTCCATTTTCTGAACTTGACTGAAACCTCCAAACAACACCATACTCGCTTAGACACGAAACCCAAGGGCCAATGCCATGATAACCTGACACCGGATTTCAGCCTCGCACGCTCCAACCCGGCCTCTCAACAAAAAGCAACAGCAAATGCAAACAACCGCGCGCACACGCACACACACACACACACACACACACACACACACACACACACACGCGCACACAGACAGAGACACGCCCACGAGCACACAGTCACACGCAAATATGAATACATGCATGCATGTATGTATGTTTAGTCTAGCTACATGTGCGTGTGTGTGTGTATATATGTTCTGACTTGAACCGTTTGGCTGCAAGATGTCGAAGATCGAGCGGATGAAGGAACTATCCGGCCTGATCCTCGGAAGTTGCAGCGGCAACGTAGCGGCGAAGAATCGATACCTCAACGCGAGTTGGGGTTAGGGATTAGGGTTTAGGTTTTAGGAAGGGGCTGTAAGGCGGTAGTAGGGCTTATGAAGGCTAAGGGCGAGGCTTGAGTAGGGTAATATAGGCCCCTGATCAAAGATACTGAATATTGGGATCCCTCTCATAATCCTCATTTCTGGAGCGGGGGTTTATAAACCAGGGATCCACGTTCAGGCTAATTAAGGCTTACGTTGAACAATCGGGCTGCTTCTTGAAGCTTCTTCGAAACGAGACCTCTTCGCAAAGCCAGACTACACTGATTGTTGGTGAATGTCATGCAGTTGGGTTAAACCTGGCCACAGCACCCAAGAGTGCGAATAGGATGCGAGCACGGACAGTAGCAGCAGGTAGCGAAACTTCGTGCACAGACACACACACACACACACTCACACACACACACACACACACACACGCACACGCACACGCACACGCACACGCAACGAGCAAAGACACAGAAGCCCACGCAGCAATGTATATAATAGCGAAATAAACAAGGAAACGCCAGAACGAAGAGCAACAGGAGACAGTTGATACCTGTCACAATGACAGGAACAGCAACAGCAAGGTTTACCATCATTACTAGCAGTAAGGGCAACCGCAATACTTAAACATGACGAAAAGAAGTCAGCTGAGAGTGAAGCGGCTAGCTACGACAATGCTAGCGTTAAGCTGAAGCTTGTTTACCATGAAAGTCATGAAAGTTGTACCAATGCATCTGTCTTACGGCTTGGGGTTCTGGATTCAGGGTAACTCGACTGCAAACCCTGCAAGCTGCTACAGTACAACACGAAGAGCCTCCGCCTGCTCTTCTTCCAACCTTCTCTGTGCGGCCTGGGGTTTAGGGCTCTGGGTCCCTTCGGCTTTAGACTTATAGGGTGGAGGATTAGCTTAGAAAGTAGGAATTTCAGGGCTTGGTGTTTAGACAGGACATTATACCCTATTCCCTAAAAGCCTGAACACCAGGATGACACGGTTTAGGGTGAGGCTTTCGTAGGGTACATTAAAGGATGCCCAAGGTTGCCGAAGAACGGGACCCCTTGCCTTCTAGCCACCGTTCTTGGCAAACTTGGTTGAGGGTTGCAGGGTGCAGTGTTGAGGGTTGAGGGTTCAGAGTCTACAGGATCTGATGGCTTTAGGTTTTCGATATTGAGAAGTAAGGAGAAGACGTTACAGTTTAGGACTAGGTCTCTTCTACTTTACGGCTCAAGGGGTTTTGCAAGTTGAACTCTCGGCTGCCATTTTCTTGCGTTTTTGTTCCGCTTCAGGTTTCCACCGCTCGAAGCAATGACTCAGTACATAAACCCTGAAATACAAGTTCATGCCAACATATTTGTTCACTGGTCAAAACTTTCTAAAGCCTCCATTTCGGAGTCAGTTAAGGTTGGTTAAACTAAGAAGCCTGGCCTGGCCTCATATTCCCAAAACCGAATGATTCATAGAAGGAACCCTAATAAAGGCCCAAGGCTTGTTCAATCAAACTCCTACATGTTCGTATCGAACGATCTTCGACCCCAAGTCAATACACCTTACAGCAAAGGGTTCAGGGTTGAGGGTTTAGGGTTTCGGGTCAAAAAGTGACGATTTACGCATAGCACCTATGCCCGGGTTGACCATGCCAAGGGCTTAGGGTTTATGAAGCGGGAATTACTGCATCCAGGGGGGACACGAGAAGATTCTTCTCATGGTTTCAGGGTTCGTGCCAGCGGATTTTGGTGGCGGGACAAGGCCCACCTCTGTGCCCATCTCTTCTTTGGAGAGTAGCCGAAGCGTGACCTAAGTTCGTGAGAGGAGGACATTGTAGGGTTTAGGGTGACCAGGGTTCGGTTTGGAGTGTTGGCCGATGTGCATCTAAGATCGGAAGTTTGGGGAACACATCGTTGGGAGGATTAGTACCCAGCTGCTCGAATCATTGAGAACTGTGCGGCTTGGGTCACCTGCCCAAGCAAGCGCCAGACAAAACGGAAGGCGGAGGGGGCCTCTCTTCGCGGCGGCTTAGGGTCAGTCTTCCGGAGAACTTCAAGGCGACAGAGTTCGACTAGAATTCCTACCTTTGGTTAGTAGGGAATGGAGGAATGGGGTACAACCATAGCTACTCTTCCTACCATTCTTCCATTTCCTACTAACACAAAAGATAAGAACTGTGGTAAAAGATATGAGGACTTGGGTTTGAGGGTTTACTGTTTGGGTTGAGAGGTGCATCGGGCTAAGGTCCAAAGGCCTAGAGCTTCTATTCGTTCCGGGAACAAAGGCCGCAACATCCTGGACGTTTAGACGCTGCCATGAAGAGCCAGATGTCGGCTAATCATTAACACGACGGCTCACAAAGTCCCATGATGCAGAACTGCACGGCACCCCTCTACGCATGTAGACATGTGCTTGGGCAGCAGCTTGAAACTTGCCTTCGGGGGAGGCCGGTCATTGAAGCCGTGAAAGAAAAGAGGCGACTCCCCCCCAAACCACCTCCCAAATACACTCGTCGACTGAGGCTCAAACCCCTACTATAAATGGCCAGAAGAGCCTGTATTTGGGATATTTGAATTTGGGAGCTTCGAAATACCTCCCTGAACATCTCCCCGCCGGGTGGCCCAGAAGTGGAAGATCAGTCTCAATGACCACGGCTTTGGATCGTGGCGCCTTGGCGGAATGCTTGGTTGCAAGATTCGCACTCTTCACAGATTTTAGCGTCCAGGAGTTCGGGGTATGTGACACTCTGACACTGCACCTAATACGAAAGTAATACCGTAGATCGACCATAGCTATGCAGCAATGCAACCCACATCCAATCTTTACATGCTTGCTTTTACAAGTCCTGAACCCAGGCAAGAATAGGTGGCTCTAATTCCAAAGCCGCTTTCCGTCCGCCCCCTCCTGCAACAACACCGTCAACAACCACTGCAAAAGGGCACGAAACCTTAAACACAAGACTCACACCACTATAAACCGTGTAAGCCCGAACCCACACCGTCAACCACAAATCGCTTCCACAAAACCAAAGCTGCTAAAGCAACCCCCACCCAGAAGAACAACGATCTCCCACCACCCATAAAAGTGAGCAACCGATAAATCGAACAGAGTTACCAACAGAAAAAGATTTAGTGATGAACACAAAACAGGAAACCTACTGGGAATGCTGTAATTTAATCCTCTCTGCCCATAAACAAAACCCAGACCCTAAACCCTACACCTAAACCATAACCCTAAACCCCTAAACCCTAAACCCCTAAACTCCTAAACCCCAAACCCCAGGACATCGCAGAAGGCAGATTGGCTCAGCTCGCTGCAGGCGGCCGATGATGGCAACTGCACGCTCGGAGGTCGCGTCCTGGGACTTCAGCGGCTTGGGCTACGAGTTGTGTATATGTGTTTATATATATACACACATGTATATATATATATATATATATATATACACATATATATATATATATATACACACATGTATGTGTGTGTATATATATACACATATATATATATACAATTGCAGATATTACAAATATATCCATATATATATATGTGTATGTATGTAGTAAAAGCATGTATACATGTTGTTGCTTCTTTGCTGTCTTGTTTATCTGCGGTTTGGGCATGTGTAGGCTTTGTCATGAAGTTGTGGCTGCTGCACTCTCACGAAAAAGTAGCAAGACTAGTCATCAGAACAGGAATAGAGCAGATGTTTAAGTAAGCCGGTGGGCTGTGCTCGCGCTGTAGCTCGTCTTCACGGCTTAGGGCTGGCTTTTAATTTCGGGCTAGACTCGATGTACCTCCCTCCGTTGAGCGTGTGAGTGAGTGAGTGAGTGAGTGAGTGAGTGAGAAACAAAAAGACCTAGCACGTTTCCTGACAAAACCGTCAGAGCAAAGTACGCACTAAATAAACCCTAAATACCGCTAAACCCTGCATTGGACGGCGAGGCGCCATTGCCCTTTTCGCTTCGCTGACCAAGGCTTCCAACTCCTTCAAAGAGACACAGACGGTTTAGGGTTTATCGGGTATATACAGTTTACGCGTTTAGGATTCAGAGTTTTAGGGCTTAGGGGTTTAGGGGTTGAGGATTTAGGGTTTTAGGGTATTGCGTTTAGGGCTGAGGGTTCAGACATAATCGTAGAATCATGGGGCTTAGCCAAGTAAGGTAGTAAGTACCCTAAGTGGGGCGCCAAGCACTCCGGGTGTTTGACTCGATGGTCGAGGGTAGGGGCTCTAAGATTTCAGATTGTTTCGGGTCTTCAGAGATGGGACCTTAGGTGTTGGGAAACGATTTTGAGTTTGAGGCTTATAGTCTTTTGTCTGATCTATGGTTTGCGCTTGGGGGTTTGGATTTAGGGGTTTAGCGCAAATCCCCAAACCTGATCTCCAAAGATTAGACAGATTGCAGGGGCTTTTCAAGCAGGACAGAGAAACCACGATACCAAACGTATGAGCCAAAAACCATACCTGCGACGTCCTTCGAACTGTGAACTCAAGCTATCCCAGACCCGACAAACACCCAATCCCTGAACCGGAATCCGAAACTTGTACTTGTTAAACCCCGCATGCCCTGCAAACCTAAACCTCGCGTTTGCAGATCTGCCACTGGATTTCAAACCTAAGGACCCCAGCCCTAGCGCTGAACTCTAAACCCTCAAACCTCGAAACGCACAGCTGGAGCAGCAGCATGCATCATGAACTCTACAACTTAGAAGGGGCCCCCACCCTGTAATAGTCGTATAATAGGAATATAATAGGGCCCTAATTTAATACAATCCTTATAGTCACTACAGGGTGGGGGCAGCTTCTAACCTACAACACCTACATCCTCAACCCCCAAAACCCCCAAACCCAAAGTCGAAGTCCAAAGCCCTGAGACCCTCAAGCCTGAACCCCTGAACAACCCATACCTAGACCCCCCAAAGTGGGTAAAATAATGGCCCAAAACATATAACAGGCTATTGTTCTACATACTTTTGGGGTCCAGGTACACCGAAATTCTGAAGATGGCCTCCTCTCGCCGCTGGCTTCGGGCTCGGAACTGGGCAGTGAAGCTCTACCGGCCCCGGGCCCCCACCCCCCAGAGTTTGGGATTTTTCGTTTAAGTGCAATGGGGCCTTTTTCTGCAGAAGGTCCGGCCGATTGCGGCCTACACTAGCACAAATCACAGAGTTTGGGGTTTAGGGTTTGGGTTTTGTGGGTTCCGGGTTTGGGTCTACGGTACATTACTGTCCCTAAATACCATGGCCGTGGGAAGGGGATGCTAGCCTCCATGTCGAGACACCAGATTCACACTCTAAAGCAATATAGCTACTTGAAGGGTCAGCCGACTTAGGTACTAGGGGTTCTATTTAAGTAAGTGGAGTTAACGGTACTTTGAGCCCCAGTTGAGGTACCTATAGCCTTGCTTACTTCCCTGATCTACCAAGTAGTGCTTACAGGAAAGAACCCGGGTGCAGGGATTAGGCTCGGAGCCAGGGTCAAGTGTTGGGGGTTTAGGGGAGTCTACACTGTATCAGAAACCCCTGCTGAGAAGGTCGTCTGCCAGACGATGGCCGCTAAAATTGGGTGGTTGTCAATATTAGGGTCGCTTTTTGGGTCCTTATTAAAATACGGCACCTTATGTTTGGGGTACCCAAAAAGGGGCCATAATTTTCACAACTACCCATATTCAGGGTAAAGCGACAGGAACCTCTAAGCCCTGATCAGTCTCAGCACATCTGGGTTGAGGGTCTGCCTGTCTGTATTTAGAAGCGAGCGCAGCGTCATGCCGCAGAAGGAGGCACGACCTCTGCCTCGTTCTTCCGTTAAATTCGTCTGGGAAGCATGACAAGCACCATTCGAAGACTGAGGCAGGGATGTCGGCTTTTGCCACCGACAGCCACGCCTCCTTGGTCTGGGCCCTCATCAGCTTGCCCAGTACTGCTCTGCAGCCTCCATAACAACCTCCGAGATGCCTTTGCGGACAACGGCCCAGGTATGCCCAAGCATTGATGAGCAGGTACAAGTACGGTTGATGACATAAGTCCGGCATTACCCATAATAAGGAATATACCATTATTCCCATATGCCGGATTTATATCATCAACCGTATGACAAGAGTGCCTGGCATGGAACTCTTCACGAAGATCTGAAGGTCACTGATAAGCCTAAACCCGCAAGCCCAACACTGACGACTTACTCACTGAGCCCTTCTGCCCCATGACACCTTTTCAATATAGGAGCCTTAATTTTTAATTATTTAGAGTTTTGGGGACCATTACACTATATATTTATATGTACAATAAGGATCCCCCCCCCCCAAAAAAATGGTTTAGGTTCATTATTGAGGCCTCCTATTTTAATCATTTTAGCTGTTTCTTAGGGATTATAATAACCAAACAATTAAAAAGTATTTCTAAGTACCCCTAAGAAAATCCCAAAGTGCGCCCTCGGGGCTGGGTCCCCAAACTCGCCCAAGGGATGCCCAGCGGTGGAGGACGTCGAACATCCCTTGGTTCATAGGCCAAAGGGTCCAAGTATCATTATGGTATATACTTATAGGGTATTTTGGGGGTCTAAGTATATACCATAATGATACTTGGACCCTTTGTTCATAGGCTAATTAATGGCTTGCTGGCTAAGAGCGCAGGCTTTGGGAAGCCGTCCATCTACGTAGTGAACATTCTGGAAAGAACAGAAAGTCATTGTGCCATACGCAAAGATTCATGAACATACTACATATTTACATGGACTCCGAGAGCTTCGAGGTTAGGTAATTGCAGAGGCTTCTTGCATTTCTTTACATGCAATGTGTCCGTTGGGGTTGGGTCCGGTTCTCGGGATTAGAGTGATGAACTTAGAACCCTAGCAAAAATTATAGTTTCAGCTGTTTCCTAGGGATTATAATGACCAAAAATTTAACAATATTTCTAGGATTAGCAGGCTTGGCTCGCTGCTTGCTCACTGGTTCACCCACTCACGGCACCTCCGAACCCCGGGCACTTGGCTGAAGGACCAAGCGCTCGACCATCAGAGACGAAGATCCAGAGTTCGGGGTGTGAAGAAACTGAACTGCTGACGGCCCTAGTAAAAGCTGTAAACTCGAAAGCATCATAAATCATAAGTTCAGGGCCTCGACTTTACCAGCCCGCTACAATAGTCGAGGGATACGACTTGCTCGGCCGATTGTCCGACCCTGTACTTAACTAAAACCTTTGCTGCAGTTGCTGGAACCGCATGCCTGATATTGAGCACGCAAGTTCCTGCATCCCAATGCACCCATGAACGACGAAGCTGTCGTGTCATAAACTCTCTCTGTCAGGATCCATGTACCTATGCGCATACACGCCAGCCATAATGACCGATGGGACATGCATTACTGCAGAGCAAAGCCATGATCCCTTATGAAGGCCCTTATGGCATGGCTCACAGTGTCTTGAGGCCCTGGCATCGCATGAGCACGAGCCTCTCACGGCGAAGCTTCTCCTGCAAACATTCCGCCACGAACGCTCTCCAGGCTGCAAGTAAGACACTAAACCTGGTATACCCGACAGCAGTACGTTGACAAGACATCCATGCGCACCAAGCCATAAACCTGAATCCGAAACCCCCTTCGGACTCTCACGGTGATACAAAGCCCCTGTAAAACCGCTACCTATACATCCCTTAAAAAAACACATCTACCCTAACACCCGTATAGCTATAGAACCCGAAGCTCTTCTCATGACACCCTAGACCCTCACCCTAATCCCTAGAACCCTAAAACTGAAAAACAAACCTACACCTTTCTAAAACCTAGATCCCCACAACCCTAAACCCCAAACCCTAAACCCAAGACCCTAAACCCTAAACCCTGACCCTCAACCAGCTCGTCCTTGACCACGGCATCCTCAGAGTCCGCCAGTGGCTGGGTTTAGCTGAGAGTTTAGGGTTTAGGGTTTTAGGGTTTAGGGTTTAGAAGAAGGTTTCGGAGTTTCGGGTCTAGGGTGTTCGTAGTTCGGTAGTTCTCTAAATTTGGGTTTTGTTAGGTCTCTAAAATCATTCGGTGCCTCAATATAAAGGACCCTAGAACCTTAATTTAGAGAACTGCCCGTGTAAGGTTTAAGGCTTGTAAGTAAGATCCCAGACTAGAAGGTTACCGGTTTAGGGTGGAAGGGTTCGGGCTCAGCAATGCTCATAAGGTTTAGGGTTTATATAGGGCGAAACGTTTACGGTTTGTACGATCTCGGGTGTAGGGGTTCGTGCGGTGAGGGTGTAAGGTCAAAAGGGTTCAGGGTTACACCAAAAATATTCGAACCCTGAGAGCCTTGTAGTTGAAGCGTAAGCATTGTAAAGTGCAATGGGATCCTTTAGAAACTTTAGAGTTTAGGGGTTAGGGGTTTAGTGTGGTTTGAATTGCACTTTCCTTCGTTAAGGGCCATCAGGCTTTGAATCTAGCATCTGCAAGATTGAGCAAAGGGGTTATAGCTTGCGTCTTTGAACTCCGTGTTCCAAAAATCTGTAAATGCAGTAGACAATGTGAATCCAGCTGTTTGGGCGGCGAGTGCCAGCAAGCGCTTAGTTACTGGAAGTTGTTACCACTACACACAAACATACATGCCTTGGAGGATGCTGCAAGGCGATTTGTCACGTCACTCAGCAGTACAAGTGAGGCCGTCACTCGACAGTAGATGATGCGTTGGTCCATGAGATCGTGCTCCTGACGCTCAGAAGCATCCCAGCATGCACATGGAAGCTTCAGAGGGGAACACATCTTTATCTTTCGAGACCCATGAATGAAACCCTGAATATTAGAAGCCCCCTTTGCGGGATGCCATCAGTTCAAAATGAAGCCCACCCGACCCAAGACTCTCACAACATGGCCCTGCACCCTAAACGCCGAAAGCAAACTATATAGACCAAACAAAATCCTAAACCCCAAAAGCCTAAAGCGTGCAAGCATGGAAAGCCTAATCCCCGCAACCCCCAAACTAAGCCCTCAACCAACGTACTGAAAGTGATCCGAATTGCCGCCCCACCCCCCCCGCCCGAAAGCTTATCGAAGCCCAGATCGCTTAGTGGGGCCTGTAGGCCTTGCAAGAAAGGAAAGCAGGCTTGTCAATTAGAATGGGGTTTAAGGTTCAGGGTATAGGCTTGAGGGCTGGGTGTATTTCGTAGCATACTTAAATTTAATACCCGGAACCCCAACCCCCCAACCCTGAAGCCCGAAAATCGAGATCAACGAGCCCTAACCTTGGAAAGCACATGGGGGTTTCCGAAAAGAGGGGCACCTTATTTTGCGATCCTTATGATAAGGATCCTACTGCTTAGGGTACTATATTAGGATCCCCGATTCTTGGAAACCCCATATGCCTCCAATACCACAGAACCCTGATCGGACTTAGAAATCTGAGACTCCTACAGCCTAAACTCCTAAAGCCTACAGTCCTAAATCCTAAACTTCTACACCGTTCACTGTGCAGTCCTCCTCGAAGCGGTTGTGAAGCCCCACAGCCACCTCGGCGACTTGTTGACTTTGATTACGCTCTCTCGGGCCACTGTAGGTCTACAAGATATGCACAAACTGAATTAATAAGATAGGAGCCTTAATACTTAGAATAGGGCTTGGGGGTACATATTATACTGTGCTTACAAGAAGGAAGCCACAAAAATAGCACAATAGGTAATTATGAAGGCCTCTATAGTAGTAACCCAGATCTCTCGGCTCCCAGGGTGCCGACACGGGTTTTACCATAATCCGGCATTGATATAGCTTTGATTCAGGCGTTGATCTTGTCCACATTGGGCTCCTGCAAAAGGCGGGCAACCTCCGAACGCCCACGCATAGTCGCGATGAGCAAGGGGGTGGAGCCATCATGCATGGCCTTGTCCTTGTCCGCATTGGCCTCCAGCAAAAGACGGGTAACCTCCAAACGCCCCTGCGCAGCTGCGATGAATAAGGCTGTGGCGCCATCAAGCTTGGCCTTGTCCTTGTCCGCGTTGGCTTCCAGCAAAAGGCGCGCAAACTCCAAACGCCCCCTGCGAGCTGCGATGAACAAGGTGTGTCGCCATCAAGCTTGGCCCTGTCCGTGTCCGCATTGGCTTCCAGCAAAAGGCGGGCAATCTCAAAACACCCTTTCACAGTTGCGATGTACAACGGGGTTGTGCCACTCTCATAGGCTTTATTGTTGTCCGCAGTGGCCTCCAGCAAAAGCTGTGCTACCTCCAACTGTCCATTCAGAGCTGCGTTGTACAAAGGGGTTGCGCCATTAAGCTTGGCCTTGTCCTTGTCCGCATTGGCCTCCAGCAAAAGCCGCACTACCTCCAACTGTCCATTCTGAGCCGCCATGTGCAAAGGAGTTGCTCCATCATGCATGGACTTATCCTTGTCGGCGTTGGCCTCCAGCAAAAGACGCACTACCTCCAACTGTCCGTTCTGAGCCGCGATGCACAAACGGGTGGAGCCATCATGCATGGCCTTATCCGTGTCGGCTTTGGCCTCCAGCAAAAGCCGCTCTACCTCCCAACACCCTTTCTCAGCTGCGATGTACAAAGGGGTGGCGCCATCATGCGTGGCCTTGTCCTTGTCCGCATTGGCCTCCAGCAAAAGACGGGCAACCTCCAAACGCCCCTGCGCAGCTGCGATGAATAAGGGTGTGGCGCCATCAAGCTTGGCCATGTCCGAGTCCGCGTTGGCTTCCAGCAAAAGGCGGGCGATCTCCCAATGCCCATTCTTAGCTGCGATGTACAAAGGGGTCATGCCACTGTTATGGGCCCTGTCCTTGTCCGCATTGGCCTCCTGCAAAAGGTGTACAACCTCCAGGTGGCCGTTTTTGGATGCCGCAAACAGTGCGGTCCAACGCTCCTCAAAACATAGATCTGGCTCTTGCGGCCTTTGTAGCATACTCTCCACGGCTGCTGCTCGACCGCTTCTTGCAGCATCCAGAAGTGCTTCCACTTGAGCTGCAGATGATTGGCAGTAGCTTAGCAGAACGACCTGAGCTTCCCCGGGTCTCAAAATGTGTTCGTCATCTAGAACCGAGGAATCATCAGCATCATCCTTCTCATCCTCCTCATCATCGTCAGCATCCAAAAAGAC